TGCAAACCTTCCCCTGACCGACCCGGTCATGTTTATGTCTTTTGAATGATGTCTACCCCTTGATGCATGCATCCTTTAATAATATAAGTGGTGTTAAGAATATTGGTGTAGGCCCTGGTGAAGGGAAATGTCATAAAGATTTTACGTATATCGCGATATACATGTAGCCGCGTCCCCTTTGTCTTTATCCTTCCAAACGCAAACGGCAGATAAGAGGGGTTCTGATGCTTAATAAGCCACTTACAAGATACAGTTTTAAATATTGATATTGTGTAAAGTTTGTTTTACCGCATAGGCGTAACCAGGTGGGGGTGCGATTGGTGAAAGATTGCACCCCTCACCCCCCCGCTTAACCAATAAAGAAGGAAGAAGAAAGGAGCTTTGAAGATAAATCTTAATTTTTGGCTTGTTTATGCCACAATCGCATCCCCCCGACTGAAAACCGATTTTTTGACGATCGCACCACCCTGACTGAAGTCTGGCTACGTCCCTGTAACATGTATTCAATTGATATAGCCATAAAATACAATAAGACATGATTGTTTCGGCACTTTGTTCACGATCATCGGATGTGTCCTTTTTCAGCGTTTGGTGTTCTGCTAGGAATGGATTGAATCAGGGTTTAATTTTGCGAATCTCGAAACGGGCGCTAAGCAAAATTACCTTTATTTTACACCAAAGAGTATCAGGCATGTAGCCAGGACTTGCCAAGAGGATTCACTTTTTGAAAAATTCCAGAAGTGGTTCACTTGTGACAATTTTGGTCCAAAATTAGCCAGAGTCACTTAAAAAGTGCTCAGAATGTTGAAAACTGCATGGTTTGAAAGATTTTTTGGCCAGGGGGGGGGGGGCTACGGGCCTGAATATATTCATTTTGAGAGTTTAAATAATGTGTTTTATACAGAGACTGTATTCCAAATATCGAGTCTGGTTTAAAGAGAAGTATCCCGGGAGAAGTGTGAGGGTCTCGGTATCATTTTCAATGACAAGGGATTATCCTTTAAGAGTTTTAACTTTATAATCCACAAAACCTGAACTTGTGATTAAACTAATGATCAAAGGATGGCTTTTTGCATCATTGTTAAATCGGGGATAAGTTTGGCAATACCCATGTTTAACTTGGATTTCATTTAAAACATTTGATTCCGGTTTTATAAGGAATTTTAGTTTGATTTGTTCTGATCATGATTTGTTAGACTTTGTCTAATGTCAATTAATATTGAATTGATCAAAGATTTCAAATCATGGGAACCAAAAAGTATAATCTTATGGCCGTTTACAAGATTCAAATGCTTAAGATTAATGATTGTCATTGTTTTAAACGTTTTAAACAATTTATTTGTGCCCCTGTGCCAAGATTTTACTTTGTTGCCATTTTAAATGAGATCATTTGTATATTCCAAATTTCCGTTCTTACAAATAAAAAGTCAGACGATAGCCTATAGGGAAATAACATGAATCAAACCCCATATTGGGCCCCCCTCGATCCAAATATTGATATGCAAGACACACATTTTTCCCCTTTGCAACAAACCTTTGATACAGATTTGTTTCACAACACACTACTTGGTTTAAAGGGCCACCCTTTCTTTAAAAAGAGAATTTAAATTATGAATATCTACATGTAGTTAAAATGTGTTAAAATGGATTGATTGATTGAATGGTTGAATGTGATATGTAGATAGATATTTTTGATCTTGTGATTGCTAATTGTAAGGCCATTTGTTTTGAACGCGGCAATTTGATGAAAGTGCATGGTTTATCGTGCTTTTAAATGAAATAGATGCTGGTTCACTCATTGTTAACGAAAAAGACATTCGTTTTATTTCATTCACATTTGTTTTATTTTTTCTATTTAATGAGTAATAGGATGAACAACCAGCATAACTGATTTTGCCAAGACCGTGATTCCCGAATATTGAAAGTAATAAAATAAAAATCGCAATCTTTCCATTATACACATTCATTTTCCTTACGTTGTAAAATCGACGCCAAAGGATATTCGATCGTTTTATTTTAATTATGCGATGAGCAATTTTACATTTATGTTTTGCAAATCGTCGCATCTTTCATTCATCCCCATTAACCCTCTACAGTTGTGCTATAATTTCAGCAAAACAAACATTCCTTTTAAAAAAATCGAAAATAAATTTTATAAATATATGAATTAAAAATAATGCGAATGTACTAGGCAGAGACATGTCATGTTATATACACACAGAGGCAATTATATCGTCGCGCCAATCATAAACACAGGGCAGATCTAGACTTTGTTTATCTGTTTACATAAGACTTTGGTCCAAGAATATCCGCGTATATCCGCTTTTGATTGAACATTTCTTGAAGAATAATTTATTTTATTCGATGAGCTAGGTTTATTATTTGGCATATAATATTATTATTTGCCGAAGATAACAGGAGATTGTAGGATATATTTTTTTTCCGAATAAGATGCCCGTATCTACTCCTGTTATTCGGCTAACATTATATTAGGTTACACCCGTTTAAAACCCCTTATTTGGGCAAATAAGAGGCGTGTAGAAACCTACAATATTACCGATTTTGCCCAGTGAAAAGTGAGGTAATATCAGGATGCTAAATGGTTGCGTGATAAAATACCAAAGTTCAAGAATGATACAACGGGATATGTAATTAAAATCATGTTCTAGTGTAGATATGTTAGTATCATGTTTAGACAATGGATCATTGAGATACGAATGATAGACAATTTCCTCGGTAACACATTTTGTAACTCGTGTAGCATGTTACCCGACCCTGTGCGCAGGGTGAAGACGAAGCTCTCTTTTAAGAAGTGAAGTCGGACGAATACAAAAGGGAGTAGCGTGTGCATGTTAGTAGCTGCTATATTTAAATTAAGATAGTTAAATATCCTTTATACATTTTACTACATGCATATACAACAGGTGATTGATCAATTTAGTGAAATTAGGCGGCAGAGATCATTTCTCCACATTTTAAAAGTTATATTTCATAAAATGGATGCAAATTAGAGCAATTTTGGCGAAAATATTTGTGACAGATTTTTTCATCACTCTGGGTTTCAAGGTCATTTCTTTAGGTGACAAGAAATCCCGTCACTCCGGGTAGTCGACCTGGTCATTATGAGTCGAACTCCCGTGCAGTGATATATCACTGCGGCGGGCAGGTGTCTCACCGTAAGCATGGTAACATCGTAATAAACAACTGACGTGATTGGTTCTAGTCCCATGCTCAGGTCGCGTGATTGTAAAATTTAGACAATTTCATTGGTTGAATTGCGCGTATTAACTAATAAACAACACGTGCGGTTACCCTTTGCATTCGTTTGACTTCACTTCTTAAAAGAGAGCTTCGTCTTCACTCTTTCAAACTAAAATAAACCTTTGAACTCACCGCGCCAATCAGTGTTCGTCGGCCAAATTTGACCGACGTTCTATATATGGTCATTCCTTCTGACGTCATCGTTGAGCCCGGAATTGACCAATGACATGCGCATATTTAATTAGAACGCATTTGGCGTATGTTTGTTCAGGCTCGCTGAATGGTGGAAGAAAGGTCAGCGCATAGGTCAGAAGTGATTTATATTATTACCCAAGCTGTCACCGGTACCCGTCGTGGGGGCGGGGCTACTAAACTGTAATATGGTCTCTACTAGGCAGAGTGTAGTTTAACTAGACTCTGCACGCAGGGTAACGTGCGGTAAACTTTTATCAACACAACTTTTACTCAGAATTCCTTCCTCGGGGATTTGCTCTTATATTTCATTGATTTTGGAATATTTTGACAAAATAATTATTGTTGAACATAAAAAAACATATATTTTATAAGTTGTGTGAAAAACAAGTACATCTGTGACAAAAAGGGGGACTATCTTCCCCAAACTTTGGGGATTCCATAATCTGCCCGCCGCAGTGTCTATACCGAGACACTGCATAGGAGTTCGATTATGAGTATAAACATAACCAATTTGCGCTCATTGTCTGTCAATTTTTAACAAAATCTTGTCCTTTATCAGACTACACGGACAGTTCACGTTGCCGAAGTGTCCATAAGACGTGAGCTCAGCTATGACAGATCTAGAAAACATTGTATTTTCAGAAAAAGAACACAATACTCCCAAACATCTCAAAAGGTCAGTCAGTAGAAGCGAGAATGTGATACCGCATGGTGATATACGTATCATCTGTGGTACGATTTAGACAGTCAGCAACAGGATACTGCCCGCTTCATGAGGCACCTATCTTATTGGTTATCATATACATGAGTAGTTGTTTTAACACAATGATAATAACTATTCTAACCTATTGTCTCATGCTATTGGGATGAACACGCTATCAGTCTATAATTCTGAATAATGGTCTCGATGACCATTTTCGCATACCAAAAACAGGATAACTTACTAAGCGTCGACTTTGTTGATCTTCTTGGTTGTGATGAAGTTTTTTTCCTTTTAATGATTTTTTACGACGATGTTTTGTGGTTGGTCTGTAACATGGCAGGTAATGGTATTTTACATGCCTATGTCTTGTTTTTTATTGTTGTAATATGAACCGTAGACCGTAGTCCGCCTGTAAACTGAGTAAATAAGAATTGACGGTATTTGACCATTTCTTTGTTTATTTCTTAATAATATACAAATGTTGAAATAAAAATAAGCGATATTATCGTCTTTTAAAAATGGGAAACTCTGATTACCGTTCATATAATACATGAAATTTTCGCGTAAACTTAAAATAAAATATCCACGCACATTCAAACATTGTTCAGAACCGGGAAGGTAAAATGTCAGATATATTGGAATCATTCTTTTGAAATAAATTGCATAAAATATGGATATACTTTTACTCTGACGTCATATTATTACCATATTATTACCATGGTTACAAAATGACAATCAATAAAATATATCCTGTTAAGATCAAGAGTGATGAGCTACGTCATGTATTTTTCCTGATATTTCATATTTAATAAGTGCTAAATCTATTTTTCTCTATTTTCAGATGACTCAGCATTTCATTTGGAGAAAGATTCGACTATTTCGATGATTGGAAAGTTAAACGACAAAGGTAGATCACTTTATCCCAAGAGAGACGAGGTCATGTCGGATCGTGAAATCAGAAAACGGTCGAACAGGAGTTCAAATGTCAGCAGGTCTTCCCAGTCAATATTTGGAATATCCAAAATGTTTGTTATTATATTGTTGCAGACGACATTTTACGCAACCGGGAATTTTGCATTGCAGACGAATTTAAACACGCAGTGTCCAGAGAAATGCCAATGTACAGAACCAATTGAAAATATAACTTGCTCAAATTTATTAACCTTACCAGGATTTCCTGCAACAACAAAGTCTCTAACACTTATCAAATGCCAAGTTTCTACGTTATTTAACGATAGTTTTGCCAATCTTACTTTATTGGAGACTCTTACTTTGAACTCAGACTCAGTGCGTATAAACACCAACGCTTTCAATGGGCTTACACGTCTCCGATCTCTCACCATCTATGATACTACTGTACACTTTGATAACAAAGCTGATGTGTTTGAACCACTGCAAAATATTACAACTCTAGTCTTGAGAAACATAGGTCTTAATGCACCAATTCCACGATTGGGTAATGTACAAGGAAATGCTTATGTCTCCGATCTCAAAATAATCGTTACACACCTCAGAAGTATAGAATATTTAGATGTCAGCCATAACCTTTTGGGATATTCCGAAGCTGAAATGCAGGAGCATTTTCTTAACTTAAAAGTCCTGAAAATTCAACACAATAACTTTGATAGTTTTGACACTGGTTTACTTGGCTACAACAAGTCATTCAAACTAGAAGAATTAGACATTAGCGACACGTTTCGCAATTTCTATCCTACAAAATATCTTGAAGGATTGAAACATTTTAAAAAACTTAAAATACTATATCTTAACGGTAATACAATAAAGAATCTAAAAGACGACACTTTCAGCCAATTTAAAAGTATCGAGCAGCTTTCGTTAGTCGACTGCCATATTGAAAATTCATCTATTCGTGCATTTGCAAGTCTGTCGAATTTGACATCCTTAGATGTGAGCAACAACCCGGCCTTAAACTTGACTCAGGTTAGCCGTATGTTGTTTGGACTGACTAATTCAAAGATTATGAATTTAACCATCCAGAAATCTAGTTTTAAAGAGCTCAACTCTTCATTATTGCAGTATGCTAAGGGAACAAAACAATTCAAAATGTTAGACCTTTCTAGTGGTGCCATCACAATCGTCAAGGCGAAATCTTTTTCTCAGCATCAAACTTTAACATATCTAGACCTATCACATAATAAAATTACCAAGATAGAACAAAATGCTTTCCAGAATCTGGAAAAACTTGAAACGCTGAAACTTGATGGGAACAAATTAGTTTCCCTCCATAAATACATATTCAGTACCCTTGCAAGTTTGAGAAGTTTAACAATTTCTAACAATCTCATCAGGGTTGTTGACGAAGCCGTATTAACAGATCAGAAAGAACTGATAACATTGTCTCTACAAGAAAATGTAATATCAACACTTCCCGATAAAATCTTCCAAAGTCTTTCTCAACTCCGATTCCTAGATCTAAAGCAAGCCACTAGTCGGAGTCCCAGCGATCACACATCATGGCCGAGAGTTTTAGGGAGTTTATACTCATTAAGGACTCTGAATTTAATGGACAATGACATAGTTGATATCCCCTTTGGCAGTTTCAATGCACTGTCCAATATTACCCAGTTGGACTTAAGGAGGAATAAAATATCACATCTTGATGACCACGTATTTGAATCGATCTCTAATGTGAAGCAACTGATCCTCCACGGAAATCAATTCGAGAGCCTGAACAGAAGTGGCATCGCCAAGCTCACGTCGCTCAAAGAGCTGGATATTTCATTGAACCCATTCCACTGTGACTGTAACATGGCTTGGTTCAGTGACTGGTACATTCACAGTAATGTGACGCTCTTTAACGTTTCGATAACACATTGTACGTCGCCAGAATCGCGTGTAGGCTTTTTACTTGTGGAGTACTCCCCTAGTTTAGAGGAATGTCCCCTAGCGCAACAGCTGCGGAATAACACTGGGTTTTATGTTGGGATCGCCGTAGCTGTGGTAGGAGTTGTGATTATACTAAGTATTCTGGCTTGGGCGTACAGAGGCTCGATCAGAACTACAATACAACGTTACGTACAAGTGAACACAGGGGCACCACCAACTCCATCATTCCCCGGTGAAACGATTGCTCTCACATCAAATGAGAGTGAAGCATAGCAGAATTCCAAACTGTACATACGAGGGGTGATCCAAAAGTCTTGGACGCCCCGCTCTAACTTTGCTATTTTTAATATAACTACATGAAACTTTCAGATAATAAAGATCAACATCTTAACAATTTTATGTATAAGTTTCAACAGAAAATAATATATTTTAGCTACTTTTCTACATATCTTTTAATACCGGGTCACTGCCACCCGGAACGGTATATGAATATAGCAAATCACGTCACAACTTATAATATGGCAAATACTTTAGGTGCAGGTGCACAACCTAACACCAGCCATGATATGAGAGAATTTTCGATTTTCAATCTGAGTGTCATCTGTCATCATCATCTTCACATATTAAGACATACTTTTCAACATATTTTCCACGAATTTGAACACATTTTTCATACCACTTGACCAATGAATGGAAGACATTTATGAAACCGTCATTGCTTCTGTGATACAAATGCTGCTGGAGTGCTACTCTAAAAAACATTTTCTTTCAACCATCCCTTCAACTTGGAGAAAAGGAAGAAAATTACATGGAGCCATAGATAGCTAGACTGTATCGTGCATATGGTACTATGGTAGCTGCTCAAGGTCAATAATAGTGAAAATATCTTGTAGTATTCTTTGTTACACTTTGATTTCTTTCGTGTTCTGCCTTTCAGCAGCCATCTTGCAGCAAAAATGATACCAGAATGAGGGTTGCTTGTCTGATGGCATTTTCTTAGAATTTGACATGTGCGGCCATTGTCATATGTGACATTATAATTAAAACACAATTAATTAGTTGCCTAGTAACAAAGGAAGTAAACTTATATGGTTTAACATTTAAAATTCAAAGAAATATAGTGGTCAAGACTTGCGAAACAAGTGAAATGGTGGTAACATTTAAGGCTGAAAGTTGCCATGTGTGAATTCCGTTCCGGGTGGCAGGGTCCCTGTATTAAAAACTATCTAGAAAACTATACAAAATATATCATTTCTCCATGAAATTAATACACAAAGTAGTTAGGTTGTTGGTCTTTATTATTGGCATGTTTAAAGTAATTTTATCAAAAACCAACAAAAATAGAGCAGGGCATCCAAGACTTTTGGATCACCCCTCGTACTTAACAAAAACGTTATTCTTTTCATTTAAGTTACGACTTACATGTAGTATGCAAGTCAAAGTAAATGACAACTATATTATTACATTTGGGATCCGTAATGCCCAGTGAACTATACATACGAAAATAAGTATTTTATTTGTATGTGTAAACTAAATTGTGAGTATTAAATATACCTGATAAATGCCTTTGTAAGGTCTGGGTATATCATTCAAATATGACTAACGTATGTATCAAGTGGATTGATGATCCTTATATATAAACACGTATACTCTTCTTATAGGTTAAACATGATATTATCCAGTGCAGTATTATACATAGTTTTTTTCTTCCTAAGCCATGGTTTCAAGTACCAACAGTTCATTTGTTGTAAAATATTGCATGACTGAACTCTGTTTTGATTGACAGGGAGCTAATATAGAATACATATAGTTATGTGCGAATTAATAACTTTAAAACAATTATGCTGAATACTAATTCGTGTCATCTCTGCAAAGGTAAAATAGATAAATACTGTACACACATTAATATGATAAATGAAAAATTAATGAGTGATTGTTTTCAGCAATGGGAACAGGAACGAAAATGCATTATACATTTTCCTAGGCATTGGCCCATTGGCCTTATCTTTCGTTTGCAAATATGGTCCGAGTAGAATGTGTGTATTGATCATGACGCCATGCGCATTAATATGTCAGCACCATGAAGTAATAGCATGTCACTGCCAACGATCTTTTGGTCGGCGTTGACATTTTACTTTGGCGTTCGGCGTCTGTTATTATAAACTTATTTTGTAACCATTTGCAATGGATCACCATTTGGGTACATTTTATCATGGTGATATAATTTTGCTATTTATATACAGTAATCTTCAGTTGCTCATATACACACTACCCTACCTCGATCGCGCATGCGCGAATCTTTTGGCTTTCAAACATGTCGCTTTTGAGTATATCGACTGCTTAGTCAAAAAGTTAATACGTTTGGTGCTCGGAGTGAGTCAATATTGCTATTCGCTACACTTCAGTGGTGCAATAGTGAAGTCCATGTTCCAAGTTATATGATAGTTGAAGAAATAATGTAAATAATATCGTTTTAAATTTTAAAATATTTGATATGTCATAGTACACGGTACACAGCTGCAAAAGTTGATCAATACAGGGTACAAGGAATGTAAATTGTTCAATAGTACAGGGAGCGAGAAAGTAAGCTGATTATACAGACATACTATGTCCCGACCTCATGTACATTTACGTTGCAAACAGTGAAAGTAATGCTAAAAAGGCCGCCTGTTGATGCTTTGAGGTGTCATCAATTGTTATTTAATCCAAATAAAGTAAACATTATTTTGTAGATTTAGACACGGGCTTTCAAGTCGTATGCATTTTAGTCATTAAATTAACAAGAACGCTAGATTATACGTGTTACTAGGGTATCAAATTGAAATAAAATAACGAAATTAAATATCAACACGTTAATGATAAATGACTATCCGCTATCAGTATTAATGACTATTTGCTACTCAGAATAATTAAAATTGCCTGAACTACATATGAAGAATCTTTCTATAGAACCCCTTGAATGGTCTAATTCACTACCGTCCTAAAAACCCGACCATTCAAAATGTTTTGTTCAAATTCACAAAAATACAGTTGACTAACATACTAGAAAACGTATCCACTTATAACACGATGACACGCAGTTTAAACAACAGTTAACTTGGTTTTTTGTTACATATCAATGTAACATTTTCGAAGGGACACTTACATGCTCCCTGTACGTTGATAGATTTACTGAAATGTATCGTGTATTGCATTTGGTTTTGCTTCACTGCGCCCACTATTATCTATCTTTGCCTATAGTGGTTTTTTGCCAACAATATTCTACACACTCCTTGATGAATCAATTCTATGTCTGGTAGAACACTAGAAATATATGTAAAATGTATTTTACGTTCAGAAATATGGAATTAAACCCACGTCCTCCATTTGCAACTAAGCTGTACCCTGTTTCCCTTTTAAACGTGGTCACGTGGTAGGGTAGTGTGATATAATATACGGAATATTAGTCCCCCTATTTAGCATATTATCTTATACTATATCTAGTATCAGTAAAAAATTCTTAACTGTAAAGAAGAAAGCAGAAATGAAGTATTGTGGTGTGCCATTGAGAAATATATTTTTGACAACGTGTCTTTGTAATCCTTATAAATATAGACAATGGGAGATTCTTATCTTCTTAATCTGACTTTTATATTCTTGTCTTCAACATAGGAAAAAATTGAATTTGAATATGTAGATCAAGACAATACCTGCATCAAATGGAATTCATTATTTAAACTGAAGATATAATTTTACATTTTTTGTTTAATGTTAATCACAGAATTAAATGTGAAATTGTTGCCCAAACAATTACATTATTTTGCAATAATAATGATTGCTTTTGTCCTTTCAGCACACTATGACTTCAATAGCACAAAGAAATATTATGACACTTTAAGAGAAAGTAAAAACATTTGAGTTAAATTGTATTTATTTGGAGTTTATTTGTTATACACGTTAAGTACATATTCTAGACAAGCTGGATGGATGGATGCATTTTTTTAATTTATTGAGCTTTCTGTTACGTTAATTTGTAAACCCATTCCATATGAAATGATATGCAATAAAATATATACATGTACCATACATCTTTTATTTAATTTCTAGAACTTTCTGTCACGTTAATTTGTAAACCCATTCCATATGAAATGATATGCAATAAAATATATACATGTACCAAACATCTTTCTTTTTAATTTATTGAACTTTCTGTTACGTTAATTTGTAAAGCCATTCCATATGAAATGATATGAAATAAAATATATACATGTACCAAACATCTTTTTTTTAATTTATTGAACTTTCTGTTACGTTAATTTGTAAACCCATTCCATATGAAATGATATGCAATAAAATATATACATGTACCATACATCTTTTTTTTAATTTATAGAACTTTTTGTTACGTTAATTTGTAAACCCATTCCATATGAAATGATATGCAATAAAATATATACATGTACCAAACATCTTTTTTTAATTTATTGAACTTTCTGTTACGTTAATTTGTAAACCCATTCCATATGAAATGATATGCAATAAAATATATACATGTACCAAACATCTTTTTTTAAATTTATTGAACTTTCTGTTACGTTAATTTGTAAATCCATTCCATATGAAATGATATGCAATAAGATATATACATGTACCAAACATCTTTTTTAATTTATTGAACTTTCTGTTACGTTAATTTGTAAACCCATCCAATATGAAATGATATGCGATAAAATTTATACATGTATACATCTTTTTTGTTTTATCTGCTTCCGGTTAAAATAGTTTAAATTATTATATTAAATATCTAAACATAATGCTCACTTCTTGCTCATGTGTGGACCCATTTACAGAAAGAATATACATGGAATTTGATTACAAAAATTGATATCGATTTTACGTCTCTCCTATACCATAGTATTGAAAATGTTGAATAGGAGGCTATTGTGGTAGCAAATTTTGAATCTATATTTTAAAATTGCAACCCTCAGACAGTTTCTTAAAAATCCCAAGCTAAATATAAATACATGTTCTAGATCTCTTTCACGTGACAATAAATGATATCAGTAGTCGATTGACTGTTCAAGCTATTCAAATACGGAACATACTGTACTTGCGCTAGACCTTTAACATGTTTAAAGACACTTAAAGATGTTTTTTTTAAACTGAAACTGTCCTGCACATTCTTCTACATACAGGCCAATTCCGGCACCTGGTTCTTGTATATTAACTAATAAGGCAGGAGACAGGAGAGTAACCAGCAGACCCACATGAAGGCCTTATTATTTTTTGTACATAATTATTTTTATTTGAAATAACTTTCATGTTTAAATGACAATAAATATAACAGTATATATACAATTTTATGTACACGTATGCTTTGTATAACCAACTGATTGTAGCCCAATGGCATCTTCCCCAGGGTCAAGTGCTATTTTCAATATTTGACCTTTCCAAAATACGACTGCTACATGTAACTTGTATCAACACTTATTTCATTTGAGCTGTTATTCTAAATAAGCTTCTGTAGCCATCTTATGCCCCAGTCAGTCATATTTGATCTACGGCAACTGTACGCCGGTCGTAGCTTCCGAAAACCGATAGAAAATTGCAGCATAAAAGATATGGATAGCAGTACAATTTAGATTTTCTATTTCGATTTGTGAAGATACGGCCGCGGCCGCCATGTGCCCTTAAGCTTCGAACATGATGATCGAACTGTAGATCTGAATACAATACTTGAAGCTTACCGAATAAATATATTAAATAGATCGTTACATCGCCAATACAATATTACAATATAAATAAAGCATCCTAATGTTTTTCATGACACAGTTGCTCATATATCTGGAATGTTGTGCATTTCACCAAAATCATACACTTTATTAACTACACATAACAATTACAAAGTTTATTCAGTCAGTCTCAAATAATACCTTTTTGCCAGATTATTCCCAATAGAAGGACTATTTTGGGAAATGAAAATTACTTAAAGAGTTTGCCTGATTTTAACTGATCAACATAATGAGAAAAAAGTATTTTAAAATCGCCATTGGTTTAGATTCGAGAGCACATTTAAATCAAGCAAATTGTGAAATATTTCAAACAGACGAGCAGCGGTTATAAAATACAATTATAGTATGTGCACTGCAGAGTTGTATTTTGGGTTAAAGTGCTATCAGATATATAATTATTTGATACATCAACATCTAAATAATACAAAATAGGATTTTTAGCAAAACATTTTCAGAAAAATTCTAAACAACCATTTAATTCTAAAAAAAAACATTTTAAGGTTTCGGTTAAACATTCTTCATTTTAGATACTATTTCTGTTAGATGTTCGTGGTCTTTCTAACATTTCGATAAATTAAAACAATATGATTTACAGTACATAAAATATTATACGAGTACATGTATTTACAAAGCTTTTTATAAACTCATGTACCTGTATGTAGTATTGCGATCCAAGGACTCGTCACATTCTATACTCAAACCTTACATTAAGTTCAACACTTTCAACACTTGTGCTGCATTGTAAGAGAGACAATTATAAGTTTTTTGAATACAGTTTATATAATTATCAAACAATTGAGATTAAATGAAATAGAGAAGGGTGATGATAAGTAAGATATACGCTAACAATATTATAATACATGTCGTAATCTACACAAACCTTACATCATATTGCAATTTTGCAAAAAGTATGACGAAATGATTCGGTTAATTTCAAATATTTGACTTGAGAATACGTTATATAATTGTCTAACAGTAGAAAAATACAGTACTGAGCAGTTTTATTTATATGTCTAACATGTACATAACTTTGTCATAATTTGTACTTCTATTTTACATTACTGTACATATAACTTGTATCTCCATTTCATTATGGGCAATAAAGATATACAATACAATACAATACAATACAATACAATACAATACAGGGTAAAATTTGTCAGCGTTCCAATGCCATAGTTCAGGTTTTACCAATATAGACATTGTGATCCCATATGCCAGTGTTCACATTCGTCTGTTTTTATTTCGAGAAGCCGATTAAGTCCTTTGTACCATTTGTTAACTTTATCTCTTGATGTGGTAAAAAATGTAATTGTTCTTCTCGTCGTTTCTAGGTCCAATAGATGGATGCCTTGAATGCACAAATGCAAAGATAAATGAGTTGGATATGAACAGCAAGTAAATATATTATGAACGTGATCATGATAGAGCACGAACGAACACTGCGGATTATCACTGGCACGAAGTTAGACAATATAGTCTAGGTTTTACAAACCGGTTTGGAATTAAGAACGTAATTCGTCAAAGTAACATACATTGATATAACGGACTTTCAATGTAACAAAAGCGAGGGGCTAAACATATGAATTGCAACTTCATTTACAAAAAATCCAAATCGAAGAAAGTTATTAAAACTAGACTATATTTTCTAGCTTTGTGCCAAAATATAATCTGCAACTTGACTTATAAGTAGGTTTAAATCGAGAAAACAAAAAACTCGTAAGGAGGAAGTTCATCCATTTTGTTACATTGACGTTCCGTCAAGTATAAAGATTCTTGCCATACCTTTTCCAGTTCTACATCTAACGGAAATGAGTTCTGACATCGAGACTTGCCCAACACTTTTACCACTAGTCCAAGTTATCGCATATGATTCAGAATCTGTCATCACAGTCACCTGCTTTTTGCGCTTCAAGCCGTGTCTAGAATGCTTGTTAAATACGGAACCTACAAAATAAACATATACGGACTAAAAATATGTGTATAAAATTCTCATTTAGTTCAGATTCAAGTAATGGATATAATACAGTATCCAAGAATGTTTAAATCCAAAGATACTTTTACTTTTGCACAGTTTATGACTTGTAGAATAAGTGATCTATATAAAATATACGACTTCGTTTTTATATGACCTGATATAATACACTTTCATGTATAAGTTGTTTAAACATGTACCTTGTTCCAAAATTGCCAAATCACCGTCTAATCTGTCCAGGTTCTTGGCCATATGGTTATTATTGTACGCAACTGCTGGTCTTCCGTTGCCATTTCTAAACGGAATCATTACGGGTTCATCAACGCTTACCCCACTATCAGATGCTTCAGACGAGTCCAATGAACTGCCATTACTATGATGTTTCTTGTTCTTGTATGCAAGTACTGGTCTGTCATCACTAAATAGAACCTCCATGGACTCATGAACGACTGATCCACTGTCTGATGTAGCTATAGAGGAGCTGACATCTGTGTTTTCATCTGAAAACTGTTTTTGGTCATCAGCAGAAGGCGTCTTGTGATGCACTTTGATCTCAGAGACAACATCGCCCTCTTCGGAATCACCACCTAACTTATTTACGAGATGCGAAATAGTGGTAGTATCACTAAGAAGGTCGACGACAGGAATATCAACTCCAAATGTAGCTGAAATATCTGATTGGAGTGTCACTACTACAATAGAGTCAATACCATACTCGACGATTGATGTTGTATCGTTCATCTCATCTTCATCCGTCATTACTAATTTGGCCAATAACTTCTTTAACTTTGCTCGAACGCCTCCTGTTAGCTCAGTGGTTACGTCATTCTCTGAATCTCTTTCGACCTGGGCTCGAGCACCTTTCGAAAACACCTCGTATTGTTCTGGAGAATGGGTTTTCATCAGATCTATAAATCTGTTCCCGATATTTGCTAACATAATGAGTCTAGACTTGAACATTGCTTTCCAGTTGGCGTTCACAAACGCAATTTGTTCAGGATTTGCTGTTAAGGCATAGTCAAAGCATTCTACAATGCATTCAGCATCAAGCACATTTATGCCATCTTTCTCTAGTACCCTTTGGGCCTGTACATTAGTCTTTAGAATTCCCAAATCCAAAGCTCCCCAATTGATAGTCAGTGAAGGATACCCGTAATACCTCCTGTAGAGTGACAATGCATCTTGGAAACCATTGCCTGCGCAGTAGTTGCTCTGACCAGGGTTTCCAAAGGTTGAAGCCATGGAGGAATGCATCACGAAGAAATCAAGATCCATACCAAATGACAACAGGTGAAGATTCCATGAACCTTGTATTTTCGGCTTTGTTGGTCCTTGGAATTTCGCTTCGTCCATAGTTGACAAAGGCCCGTCGTTTAGTACGACAGCACCATTAAATATACCTTTAATCGGTATACCTGGGTGTAGTTTATGGAATTCTTGAACAGCGTTTTCGAGTGTCTCCAACTTTGTGGCATCTGCTGAGAGGGTAATTATTTTGACTCCAAAATCGCGTTCGATCTTCTCCATGTCCTCTGTTTTCTTTCCTGCAGACCTGGACAAGCTAATCTGGTAGCCAGCTCCCTTCTTTGCCATGTGTTTCATTAATTCTGCACCGAGCCCACTTGTACCTCCAACGTGAATGTAAGCCGCATCAGCCCGAAATAAATCATCTTGTCCTACATATATCTGGAAACACTGACTTACACGATTGTCAAATTCTTGATGATTTGCATCCCTAGTTCGTTTCAACTGCTGCATCGATCTGGCTTTTCTGAGACGACTGACTGGTTGTCTCTCTTCATTGAAGCTATCTTGACTTTGATATATCCTCTGAGACGACTTTTCCCATTTCGTATTGGAATAACCCCTACTCTGTCCTAATAGTTTATTCTCAGTTCGTTCCATTAAATTGCAGACACATATTCCACCACCATGAGTGTCATTGTCATCGACGCTATCAAAGTCAGTCGGGGATTGAAGAATATAGACCGGAAGTTGATTTTCAGATGGTTTTAGGGACTTTATCCACTCTGTGGCTTTGCTGAGGTTCTTTTGTAAAGTATACGGACTAAGCACCAATAGTGTTTGCAAAACGAATATTTCGGTTTTGTGGCCTAGGGACTGACAAACAATGTTGCTGCTTTTGCTTCCATTTATTGTTTCAACGATGATGACTTGTTTCAAAGATTTTGCCTTTTGAATATTCTTGATTTCAGCCATTGGGAGTTGGCCATCAGTAAGAATGATGACATGACTTGCCTCTTCGATCGCTCTTACAATGTAGATGTTGGATGCTTTGAGAAGACTCCTCAGAATATGGTCTAAGTCTTGATGTTGCTCGAATCCAGATATGTAGATTTTTGAACTTTTTTTTGTTTTCAACTGCTTTGTATTTAGATGTTTAATGATTTTCCAGCTGATAACGTAAAGAGACAAACAAAGCGAGTTTGTAATGAATGGAACGTTGTTCAGAGGAATAACACATTTTCGGGGAATAACCATAGTTCTCTGAACCACATGTGGGTAACAGACGAGGACCCTCTCGTGTTGGTCTCCTTTTGGTTTCTTAACATGGCCGATGAAATCAATCGAACTTACAGAAAAGCTGTTTTTGTGAGAGGTAGTCATCCACGGCTCTGACACATTGACATTAAGGTCATCATTTACATCAGGCCGAAATAACCCATTTCTACAAACTCGAAATGACTCGATATGTACAAGACATTCTGACTTGCTAATAGTGGTTGGATTGTCATGATTCTTGATCAGGAGAGATGGGTTAGCAATTTTCGTTGGGTCTGTGGACACAAGGACTGCATTGGCTTTGTTGATATCTGAGATGGGTAATCGATGGTCATCAGGACGACCTAAGTATGGTTTGATTTGGTTTGTATACACATCATCGCCTCGATATGCCAATTCAGATTGGTCTGGGGGTTTGTATAGATAACGCACAAAGCTCTCAATTTCTAAACTTGAACCGGTTGAGAAGTCAATCTGGAACAAGTGTTGAAACACTCGTTCTCTGCCAAGTGCTCTAGTCATCGCCAGAATCGATGCACCACAAAGATCGATAGGTTCGTCATCATTTTGGTACATCTGTGAATTTTTTGTAACAACGTACAAAGGCGTGTCAGAGGATGTCTTATAAAGGCATTGGACGAGCTGCCTTAATGCTGAACATGCAAACAGAATTGGCGTCTCAACTTGATCTGTCCGAGCCTTGACATTGTTGTATTTTACTTCAGGTACTCCCCAGGCAAAGATGACTAAGTCGTATTGGGTCAAGTTGTTGGTGTGGCATTTCAGTATGTTTTCTAATGAGCGCTCACTTCTTATGAAATCATTGTAAGAGTCCACAGCAGGAGGGGCGATAAATGTTGATTCTGCATTAATGAAAGGTCTCAGCTTCTTCATAAGCCCCGTCGCATCTTCCAGAATGAGGCATTTCTTTGAGTTTGCAATATTTTCTGAATGGCTGCGATCCGGCACCCTTTCCCATTGTATACTATACGAGACGTCAGGTTGATACGAGAACTTTTCTCCTGTAAGCAACTTCAGCACGGTATTCTTGCATTCAACAATCACTTCACCAGTTTCAGTCAACAGGGCTGCATGACAAACAACACGATCCTTTTTAGTTGACTCTGACCGTATGTAGATAAGAGCATCAGAAGGTATAGGCTTTCGCACTGTTAATTTGCCAATTTCAAATGGAAATGCTACAGTGCCATCTTGTGGAACAAGTACAAGAGCTTGTAGGATGTTATCAAGGACAGAGGGGTGGATAAGCATCCTGTCTTTTTCATTGACGATAGGTTCCGGTGTTGAGAACTTCAACAGCCACTCTTTGCCGTTAGTTTTGTAGTTTTGTATTCCTTGCAGACTAGGGCCATATGTAAACTTGAACTTTTCTAATTGTTCATACATGGCACTCGCATCATATTCATTTGGGCATCTGGCCCCTATCTGTTTGACGTCAATATCTGTTTCACCCGTGTAACTGTCATGGAATGTTGTTGAACCGATCGCATGTGTAGATTTTTCTGAACTAACTGTGAACTCCATATTATTGCCTTTCTTTGATGTTATGCAGATGTCTAGCTTCCTAGTCGCAACGTCGCCATCTAGCGTACATGGGCTGACAAACCTTACTGAAGTTGATATACGTTCTGACACAGCCAGTCGCCTGTCACACATTACGGAACAACTCATTCCAAGTTCTACATATGTTGCTCCAGGGACCAGAATCCTGTTTGATGATTTATGATCGAATACAAATGGCATCGTGTCTCGTTTGACACTACACACAAAGTGTCCTTCATTCATACCACCTGTTATGAATGGATGAGCTTGTAAGTTGCCAATTGTTCCATTTTCACCAGTTCTGTATCGCACGTCGGCCTCTTCAGGATAGTACTTGAGATAGTTTCTTTTGAAATGATACCTTGGGAAAGGAATAGGCGTACACTGCACAGGGTGGACCTTCTTCCAGTTTATGCCAAAGCCAAGTTCGTACAATCGTCCAAGAGATGTCAGGAGGCATGACCATTCTTCATTTGGTTTAAATGAAGGCAAGATTATGTGAGATGATTTACCGGTGATGTCTTTGATATTTGTTCTCAATGCTGGTCTTGGTCCAATTTCTAGGATCACGTTATAGTCGGATACATCTAATACTGCATCCATTGCATCCCTGAAAAGCACAGTCTGGCGGACATTTCGTAACCAATACCCAGGTGTAGTATAATCATTTTCCGATGCAGCTTTTCCCGAAACCGTAGATATGAGATTACATCTAGGGTGATCACTTGGTGCAGGAGCTAAATCGATCAGGTTGAGCTGATTTTTCAGTTTATCGAGGATAGGATCCATGAACTTACTATGATATGCCACCGACACATCTAGTTCACGTAAGAATATGTTGATACCATTGTCTTGTTTTACATTGTTCAGATGACTCTTTAGTGCTGAAATGTTTTCTTTTGATCCGGATAATGTACATGACGTTGGGCTATTTATTGCAGCAATCTCTGTGTTGAATTTGGCAGCTACTTCTTTAATGCTTGTGTAGTCATAGTTACTAACAACGAGCATGCTTCCCCCATTTGCTTCCTGGACACACTTTCCACGTGCTACTATTACATTGGTGGCGGCTTCTAGAGACAGTTTCCCTGCAATACAACATGCTGCTACTTCTCCCACGGAGTGACCTACAATGCAAGATGGTTTTATTCCCCACTCAATCCATTGTCGTGCAAGAGACACTTGGATAGCAAATATCGCTGGTTGACCAATGGAAGGGTCGGCCAAGTCACTTTTTGTCTTCAGTTTGTCGATCAATGACCATCGCTCGCTTTTAGAAATCTGTTCATCAACGCTAGTCAAAGTTTGTGTAAATACACTGTTTACGTGGTTCGTAAGCATTTCAATTCCCATGCTAAGCCAATGGGTTCCCATCCCGCAGAATACGAATATTGTTCTGAGCTTCTCCTGTCGCTTTTGTTTGGTATCAATGTTGTCCAACTGAATTTCTAGTCCCTTCTTGATTTCTTCTTTGTCCGCCCCCACGATAGCTATCCTTTTATCGTAGTGTGTTCGTCTGGCTGTAGAAGTATAGGCCAGATTTTCAAGTTTTACTCCATCTGCGTCCAGACCTGCCAACAAGTCTTTTATGGATTCCTTTAGGGACCAGGCATTGTTTGCAGATAGGACAACAATTGTTTTCTGGTGATTCGGAGCAGCAAACGTGTCATACTGAATATGTTGTTGGACTACAGCAAATGAGTTAGTTCCTCCAAATCCATAACAGTTCACTGATGCAAGACGTGGTTTGTCATTATGCTTAGACCAGACCTCAATCTCTGTTGGCAATCGCATATTTAGCGCTGTGAAATCAATTTTTGGGTTCTGCCTATTAAAAATGATGGAAGGGGCAATCTGGTTATGTTGCATCATAAGAAGAATTTTTATAAGACCCGCCGTACCAGCCGCTGATTCCGTATGCCCAATATTTGTTTTGACCGACCCAACAAGACAAGGACCAGCTTCTTTCGGACGTTTGGTAGCTATGCTCAGTCCAACACTTTTTGCTTCTATTGGATCCCCTGCTGGAGTTCCTGTTCCTAAAATAAACATTTCCCCTTTGCAAGCGCTTCACTTAGAAAATGGAACAGAGGTACAAGAGAGAGGATATCAGAGAAACTGAAATGTCTCATAATCATTTTAATCTTCGTGTTTTCCCCCACTTTTGCACTTTGAATCCTTAATACCTTCCCACACCCTTTATATCTGATTCTACCCATCATTATTATAAACATCTAAAAGTTTTAGTACCATCGTTCATGTTCCATGTTTGATGTCCCCCGAGTTGTACCAAGGCAAACATAGAATAACAATATATCACCACTTCTAGTGGTGACATAATTACTTTGTGAGTGACCAACAAATACTCTTGAAAGGAGGAGGGAAAGTATCGCAACAGATTTCGGACAGTCATATGTTGGACCAATGCATTACCTTCAGGAAAAGCACTCCTAGAGATGATAAAATTATTTCGACTTTGAGACAGGGAACATGCAAACAAACCTCCCACTTGTTTTTTTCTGAAATGTTTTCCTGATTTTCAACCCCGGCCTTCCACCCCAGCTTTTTTAATTTTTCTTGCATCAATATGTTGTGTTTTGACACACAGTTAACCCATTTAAAGGAATAGGTGATTCTTTTTAGATAAAGTGGAAAACAATTTTTCCCAAGTTATTTTCCCAAAGGGAAAACTCATGAAATTCATTGCTTTCAGCTAATTTTGGTCACCCATAATGGATATCCTTAAAACCCCCGAAAGAATCCATGATTTGTTAGCTTACATCGTAGGAGAATACTTTTACACCATAAATGTCAAAATAAACTTACCATGTGCTTCAACGTAGTCTATGTCCTTGGGATTAACGTCCGTCGTATCAAGGACTTGCTCCATCAGTTGCTGTTGTCTCTCCATAGAGGGGGCAGTCATTGGTGTTGCCATATGTCCGTCGGAGTTCACCCCGGTTCCAATATATCCCCAAATTTTGTCATTGTCTCTCAAAGCCTTTAAATGATAATAAAAATATAGTTACTTACAAATAAGCGATCATATACGAGGGGTGATTCAAAAGTAATGGACAAAATTTTATAGGCATACTAAATTTCACCCAATCAGTCTAATTTTTTCACAGTGAATAGATCAATCAATTCTCTACTTTGTGTCGAATTCTCATTTAAATGCATTTGAAATTGTTTCAGCTATGCGTAACCATGGTAACAAGGGTAAGCATGGGTGGAATTGGTTTTTTAATGATAATTGAATGTTTTTGTCATTTTTGCTTGATTTCGTTTTAATGACTCAATTACTACACATGATATGTCTAACAAGCATGGTAATGCAATTGTCAAGCAAGACTCACATGCCCATGTGTTTGCTGTTGAGTTCTAAATTCAGCAACCAATTGTGCTATGACATCACAATGATATTTCTAAGAGTGATGAGTCACAGTGAGTCAGAAAGTAGACACAAGAGACAATCGTTTGTTACACATGGACAATGCCCCAGCACACAGGTCCAAGCTAGTTCAGGATACTCTTGCAGCATTCATGGACATGCCTCAACTTCCATATGCTCCATATAGCCCTGATACTGCTCCTTGTGATTTCTATCTTTTTCCCACCCTTAAGATGGCATTAAAGGGACAATCCTTTCAGACATAAGCTGAGCTGCAAATGGCTGTACAAAAACAGCTGAACACCATGGCTGCTGATGGATTTGGGCATGTGTTCTCTGCATGGGTGCGCCGACAGAAGAAAGTAATTGAACTTGGAGGAGAATACATTGAGGATTGAATATAATTCAAATGGATGATCATCAGGAATAATAAGGAATGATATGGATTATTATTGAGCTTACTGCGATATGCTTTTCATATACATCTTGCATTGCAAAATATATTGCACCAGCAAACTTTTCATTGAAAATCCATTTGTTATTATGATGAAAATAGCCTTAAAAATGGATTCCGGGTGTATGCACCATGATCCAAGAGAAGTGCTCTATCTCAAAATGTATTTGCATTTAGTTAATAAAATTTTAATATCTAACAGATAATTGATTAATCTTTATTTGTACAAAGTTTCATTCAAATCTGGTAAAGGTAAGCGTGCCTATAAAATTTTGTCCATTACTTTTGAATCACCCCTCGTACATGTGTATTGTTGTTCATATCAATGAACAGGATATATTCAATTCAATATATAATTATTTAGTTACAATTGATGATTGTTGCACTTTATCCATTGAGAAATGAGACTGCTTAATTTATAAACAGACCACAGGCGAGGGATGGCAAATGGCTCTGATGTTTCAAAGAAAGTACTAAATCACATGCGAATCATCATGTTTTGTGATTTGCTATTTTCCTAATTTGACATTAATTTCATAAATAGTTTACGGTTATTCAGAAAGCATACAAAATATTGTGGAGACAACAAGCTTTCATTTTTCGTAATTTGAGGAATTCAATTTTGTATTATATTATCAACTTGTATTGTCATGTCATAATTGAACGCAATTAGTGTAGATATAAGCAAAATACAATCGTTTTTTAAAACCCTTGGAAGTGATCAGTATGATAGGTGTCATGCAGAAAAATATCAAGATATGCGTTGAGGTTCAAAAATGAACGAACGAACAATCATGCAATTGACACCATAGACGTAGGAGTGGGTATCTGACCATTTGCTTGTTGATAGGCACACTTGTTTTAACGTCAAAATATTAAGGGGGTTATGAGATAATTGTGCATTTATCGGACAGTTCCTTTCTGATTTATCGATGATACAGATTTGAATGCCACATAAAATATAGTATACCTGTTCTACGGATTTTAAGAGTACGATTCCACATCCTTCGCCTCGAATGTATCCATCAGCTTCTTCAGAGAAAGCGTGACATTGGCCCTTTTCAGATGACATGCGTGCTTTCGCAAGATTGACGAACATGTACGGATTCAGTATCACATTGGTTCCGCCACAAACGGCCATGTTACATTCTCCTGATTTAAGAAATGATGGTTTTCAATGGCAGAGTAACCCTTTGCTGATCGTTTGAATAATATTTAAATTTTTGCCAATTTTTCGCTTAGACTATTATTAATTATATTTCGCTACAATTTATGTATGCAAAGACCGCTGTGCACAGGAATGCACACTCCCCTCCACAAGTTTGGCAACCTTAGCTCCCTCATTGAACTACGTGTTAAAGCCTCTTCATGTTTGAATTTTCATTTACATAACCTGCGAGGAAATACTTATAATTATCAATGAAAATGTAACTTGACTTCATTTCCAATGCCTCCAAATTTTCCCAATTTTTTCCTCAATTAAAATAGGTCGACAATTTATGATAAATCTGATGAATTTTTGAAAATCGACATTCATATGTAAACCAATGGGAAATGGTAGGTTTTCCGCAAGTCATATGACAGAATATTCATTTCGCAGGTTATGTAAATAAAAATTCAAATATAAAGAGGCTTTAACACGTAGTTCAATGAGGTAGCTAAGGTTGCCAAACTTTTGGAAGGGAGTGTATTGTATCACTGTTATTGATATAGACGTTTTGTACTCTGTGCAAGGTAATCTGAATATGATAAAACAAAATCCATACCTGCCAATATTGCCTGCCTACCTAGGTGTATGGCCACCATTGAGGAGGAACACGCCGTATCTACAGCCATGGATGGACCCGCCAAGTTAAACGTATACGAAACTCTGTTCGCAAGGATAGATTTCGCACTTCCAGTTGCCATATAGTTATCAGCATCAAAGGACTCCGCAAGGACGGTTTTATAGTCATCATTCATTGAGCCTTCAAATATACAAAGTAACACCCCAGTCACATTTCCTACGGCGACCGTGTGGTCTAACAATTTTGAGGTCAGTAACATTTCTACGCTCGCCCTGGAATTTCTGCGGTCGGATACTTTTGCAGTCACATTTCCTACGGCAGCCGCACGGCGAGTTTTGGAATTTCTGTTGATTAACGGTAATTTTTATTTTTATTTTATCTACATCAGTAGAATACATAAATGTTGTTTGTAGTGTTAGGATTTAGTGTCGAATAAAAAGTGCAAGTGAAATATAAGTCGCTGTGGTATCAGTGACCTTACATCTTGGTATACGTATTGTGTTATGTTTACAGCGAATATATGACCGAAACTGACACAAAAACTGTTTCCAAAGGTACATAACTACATTACCCATCAAACCCTTCAGCGGACGCAAGTCAACTGCAAACCCGACGTGTGGCCACCGTTGGACCTTTCTGCGGTCTGGCAACGGCCTGTTGATTTCTACGGAGACCGCAGAAATGAACAAATATTATAACTCCAAGTTATAATTTCTACGGCTACCCTGCGGCCTGTAAAATTCGGGTACGCCATACGGAGACCGCAAGGCGAGCGTAGTTTTTCTACGCTCGCCGTAGAAATTCACTGATTTAATTGATCTGCGGTTGACGCACGGCCTCCGTACGACAAATGTGACTGTGGTATAAACGCAGTTTTAAATCTAAAGATTTTCATGAAATCTAAAAAAGTTAATCATTGATATCCAATTTTTTTATCCATTACCTATGTAAACGCCAGTGTTCGAGCCATCCATCTCCATCAAAGGAAACCCACCGTCCTCGAAGGCCTTGAAAACACATTCTAGGGTAATTCTGTGCTGAGGGTCTGACCGTGAAGCTTCTACCTCGTTTATGTTGAAGAGACGATTATCGAAGTCAAACACACTGTAGAAATGCAAATAATAAATGAGTTCGATCATTTTCAAAATTATATGCCTTCTGTCAAAGCTATGTTCTGTGTGTCGTTATCTACACAACTGTCGACAATGGATTTAATCATCTATCTGCAGGCATTCGTTTTTATACAGACAATGACATTTTAGAAAGTATTGTTATTAATATACAACTAGGATGGTCTCATTGTTTTATTTTATATTTTATTTTTATTATAGACAATAATGGCAAAACAAATGAACATCAAAATCGACAATTTGCAGGTTCAAAATGTTTCAAAATGTATATGTTCTCATAGTTTGATCTCATCAAATCCATTTCCAAACATAAGCATTTTTTAATTCCTTTTCACATCCAAGGTTCACAATTATTTTAAATTGGACATTCCACAGAATTTTGTTTAAAAAGAAAGTACAGAATACATTTGAAAAGTAATCCGTATTAATAATACGCAAATAAAATAAAACGCAAAGCAAAAATTATTTATTTAAAATGTACTTCATGATTAATTAAGTTCAAAATTATACAATTGGATACGAGAAACTGAAACAACTCACTAAAAACTGCTATTTTAAAACTAAACAATAAATCTGACAAAACAAGTTTGTTGTTCCACTCTAAAATGAAATATTACCGTAACAACTTAACATAAAGGTGGTAATTGAACTATAGTTTGAAATCAAAATAGCCCTTGTTTGAAAAGGTAAAAACCGCTTAGAAACTCCAAATGCAAAATGTGAATATTAAAAAATGCTCGAAAATTATTACCTGTCCAAAAATGCTGCATGCTTTGTATAGGTTTTTCCCTGTGCGTCCCTGTTAGTGTCATAGAAAGCATTGATGTTGAAACGTTCTTCTGGAATAACCCTGAGATGATTTTTCGATTCTACAAGCGTCTCCCAAAATTTATCTACGCCTTCTCCACCAGGAAAGTTACACGATACACCAACAATGGCAACTGCCTTTGTTAGGTCCATGTTTGCAACTACCCGCACTGACGTCGGCATCGCACGCGGGGTATGCTTTTATAGTATCATTTGGATGTAGGGGTTATCGAGATCTTATCAGACAACACTTAACAATTCCTGTGAAAACTCAAAGTATCAACTTTTTTTGATTTGTCGTTTGAGGAAATAAAAAACAAATTTTCAAAAGTATTCGCAGAAATCACGAACGTTACATGGTGTTCCAAATGTTTTATTTTTCTTGCGTCTATTCATCAAAAAAGGAAAACTCTTCAAAATTTTCAATACGTATATTGTGTCAATCCCCTCATTTGAGTAGTGTATTAGGCGCGCCTAGATTGGACTGTTTCCTTGCTGATTGTCCCGGGGACCACAATCTCTAGGGCTAGCTGTTTAATTTTTGTCTGCGCATTAAATTTTTGATACCCTGTATCACATGCCCGTATATTGTAGAAATAACGATAACACCTATATAAAGGTACATTCTAAGATTTTCTGATTTATAAAAACAAATTATATATAAATAATAATATGTCAATGCGTTAAGTGCAAACAGGCATCAAGTGCTCTAATGTGTTTGCACTAAATTCATTAAGTCATCGTTGGCAAAGTAGAACTTAGATAAATCATTTCATAAAATGAATTAAGCCTTAGTATCATTTGATCTAGATATTTTGGCAAATCGGGTACTTTTCACAAAAAAACATAATCCAAGTTGAACAATGACTGAAAGATCAGTTCAAAATAATTTTATTGAATAATAAAATTCTAATCGGAAAAAAGGATCTGAATCTATATCTGTAATAAAACAAAGGATTAGTGGTATCTATAGCTAATTTTCAACTATGGAGAGAATTTGTAATATCATTGGTAATCAAACGATTCGCTTTCAAAATCGAAATCACATTTAAAGAAATATAATATTACTCGAAGACTCGTTTGCGAAATCCTGCAAAATATGATCACATGATGTAAGACTCTACGAATGTTTATCAACCATGTGGACATTGTTTTATCAATGTATATTTTATTTTTTAGCAAAAGCTATTCTCGAGCTTATCATAAATGTTGACATTGCTTTAGATATAGAAATGAGATGATTGTACTTGATCACTACAACTCCAAGTGATCAAACACGCACTTGATCGACTGATCGACGGACAAATGCATGCGTCGCCATTGACTTTCTTAGAAAATACGTGACTTAATGTGAAGAAGATGAGTTATCTAAGACTATAAAAATACTATATAAAGAGCTATTGACGATTAGGTCATATGTCAATGAGACTGTGTCATGGATTCACTGAATCCATAGTGGGTTTCTATCTAATTTTGATTATCCATTATCATTGTTGATTATTTTAACACGTGGAATGGTCTATGAAATGTTTAATGGACGCGTCTATTCAAAGTAACAATGGAAAAAAAATTATGAAGAGTAAGGTACATTTATTCGAATTACGTAACTGGCTAATTGAATGTATATTGTCAAGAAAATCTTGCCATTGCTCAGAATTGTAACCCATGACATCCAGCATATAATATGTTAGAAGGTAGGCATGATCGATGTTGATGAATATAAGCGAATTTACATCCATAAAATGTACATAAATAGACCAGAATCTGGTCTGTAACTACAACTAAATTGTATATTATATATACGAGTGCTATAATTATAAGTACATAATGTACTTTTTTTTATTTAAACACATCAAATATGGTGGATGAAATAAATAAATAAATAAAAAAGTATTATAATAGGAATATCCTATGGTTTTGAAAAAATAATATTTATATCCATGAGTGGATATTTATATCTTTACGAGTGAGCGCAGCGAATGAGTGAAGATATTGATATCCATGAGTGGATATAATTGATATTTTTGGAAAACCATAGGATTGTCCGTTTATCCCATGGGAAATCTTAACCCAGCGAAAAAAATGTTTAAAAAAATTTCGAGAAAAAATTTTGAAAAAAAAATTTGAGGGAAAAAATCTAAATTTTTTTAAAGAAAATCTTGAAAAAAAATTAACCATCGAACAGTCGAATATCACTTTTGAAACCATCGAATATCACTTTTGAAACCATCGAATATCACTTTTTGAGAAGTGATATTCGATGGTTTGAGAAGTGATATTCGATGGTTTGGGGATTTTTTGCTAAAACATGATATCTTGATCCACATATCAAATATATCTTCACCTGATATTCGATCTATATCCTTGTAACCATGGGATAAATAAAAATACGTGCAATGTAATCATTCCCAAACTTGCTCTTTGAAAGTTGATTCAATAATGTTAATATAGAGATTATCCTATAGTTTGTTCTTGATATTGGGATTACCCCGAGGCCAATATAATATATCTGCCCGTTGTCCCGAGAGTGGATATATTAGACTGGCCAAGGGATAATCCCAATATCCTGAACCGACTATACGATGATCTGTTCATCCCATACTAGATCTGGTTCGAATTATTTAACTAGTCCGAGTTCAGAAAAATTTCAACCGTAGGAATACTTTTAGAATATTCATGTCCAGTTTTGTTTCTCTTTAAATTGGCTATATAGAGTGAGAAGAACTGTAGTTCTCCAGGATCAGTAAACATAAACATAATCACAGGGGTTCATAAATATTTCACGCTCACTTTCTCTCAAATTGCTACTCGTCAAAAGTGAACGTCAAACAACTTTGCAAAAAAAGTTCTGATTTGAGTATCATTATGCACCTCAATTTGTTGTGTATCCTTTTCTCTGTTACCTAGCCACATGATGACTTTTGGGGCACTTAATCGTAGCATGATGACAATTGAACCAGTTAAATTATCTATCTATAAGAAATTTGATTTCCTTCTTTAATTAAAGTGTTCTATGAGAAATCTACTTTTGCGTATCTAGTGTTTTTTAAAGTTCAATTGAATGATAAGGCCAATTAAAAGAACTGGTCATACTTAAAGGTTAAGAGGAAAAATGCAACCATTTCTAGAGAACTTCTTGTATTTCTGAAACAATTCGAAGTAAGAAAGTAAGTTCGAAGTAAGAAAAGGTCAAAGGTAATGGTAACTGTACTTCATTTTCTCTTAAAAATGACACATTTGAACATCTTTTGTGTGCTCAAATATCAGAGAGAACGTGGTTTTGGAGGAAAGAACGAAGATGGCAAAGTCGGAACTGATGACCGCTTTTGTGGAAGTATAGGAGGCCTGATTAACTTTTCAAATGAAATAGCATTTTTTAATCCGGAAAAGTGTATTGTGATGTCACTCGCTTTGGGGGCATTATTAGTTTTTTTCATTTGATCTGTTTTCCAAATATCTTTGATAAAAATACATGTGGAAATAAATAAGTGGATAAACGGTATCATTGATTGATTTTTAATCGTAAAATGAATCTGGGTTTATTTTGCAGTTATCAAGTTCAGGACACTTGGCTATGATTTAAAGTTTCGATCTGCACTCAATCGTTTAAATCACTCTAGAGATAGCAAATACCTCTAGCTAATAAATCTTATCGAAACTATAAAGAGCACTTTTTTTTAACTTTAGCTTCCTGGTCAGTACTGTTTCTTGGGATCGTTGTCAAAGTCAATCTTTGACCTTTTTATCGATGCAATTTTGTTGTCATCATGTCACGGCGTGCTGATTCACGTTGATCGTCTGTGATGTTAAAAATGGATAACTTACAGGATCAATATATCAAAGCAAGGCATTAACTTGCAAAATGTCACCACCTGCCATTTGTTACAGACGCCTTACGCTGAACGCCAGACGCTGAACACCGTCCACAAAAAGTTGGAGACTAAAACAATATACTAATGATATAATAACTATTGACATCCTCCGATCACAGGGCTTCAAAGCCCAAAATATATTCTTCCTTTTTACCCCGGAAGAAGGAGGTGCGGATTCTGGACACCTGCTTTTAAAGAGGATGTTAAGAAACATACAGGTTTCCTTATTAACTCGAGTCGGAAAGAAATCACTTAAGGAAATCATGTTCGATGCATTTTTCAAATAATTATCTTGCTCAGATTCGCTCTAATTTTGCGTGTCAAGGGGGTTAGAACTACTACCTTTTAAACACGTGTAATATTTGGTTAATGATTTACAAAAAACATTGCCAGGCGACCTTCTGAATCATGTTTTTATCAATGTTAACAAAGTAATCAGAATTGTCACTATTTTTAATGATTAATGACGCAATGTTTGGTAAATAGCGACAAATTCGAGGAAAGATAACCGTCCAAGCGCACTTAAGTGCATGTCGACGTTATCAGGTTAACATGCATTGATATCAGGTTGTACCGAAATGCTTTTCTGTGAACACTTTAATAAAAAAAGAAATAGATATGCTGATAAACTTAAACCAAGAGTTCATTCCCAAGATTTAATTGAAAGGAACACGACTCTGCAATCTAGCTCTTCGTCACTCTAGAATTAGCCGCAAAATCATCAGCGCCTCTATGTACGCTAAGCGTCTTTATTAACGTAAGTACATTGCTTTTATACAACACTTTTCGTTAGCATTGTAACTGTGAAGATTTGCATGAACATAAATATTTAAAGTAACGCATATTGCCTTGTGCTCCTGTAACCCATGTTTTAATAATATCACACCCTTTAATGGTTTGAGAACATTAGCCTTAAAATGCTTTGGAAACAAGCCAGTCAACTTTATTGTACATTCAAAAAGCCCACAGTGAATTCAAGGCAATCAACCCAATTATCTTTCCTTTGCCACAGCTACACATGTGTAGTATCACTCTTGATAAGGCTGGCGAAGTGATTGCGTGTCGTTTTACTTGCTGATTTTATACAAAGGTACATTCTTATATTAAGTTATTACACATTTCACATATTCTTTCACATATTCTTTGGCTTTTACATGGGTCACACTACACTACACAACTTTGGATGACGTCACACAAAAGCAGGAATTCACTCTCAGTTCAATGGTTTAATTCTACCAAATTTATATTTAAAAACACCAAGGTGAAATTTTTGAAACACGGAGCTGAACGGGAATTGAAGCGCTGCACATTCCTATATTGGCTCCATGGCATGATGACACGCTTCAATCTCTCCGTCCACGTTTAGGTTGTGAAAAACAGTGCAAGCTTATCCCAGAGGAGGAGATTTCCCAAAGCTGAGAGATGTCACTGTCACATTCCAAAACCAATTTCATAAACTGGAATCATCTGTCATTGAAATTGGTCTCAGAATGTTCGCTGTTGTTTTCTGGAAATCACACTAAAAATAAATGATTTCAAAAGGAAATTATTTGTCTTTAATATCAATATGAAAAATATTTGTGGTTGGCGAATTTCAAATTTTCAAATGGGTTAAAAAGTGTTTGCGTAATCCCCGCGTGAAGTAGTGGGACGTGGACAAATATAAGATACTCAATTTTAAATTGTATGCTATTGTGTTTTCCAGATATGCGATCGAAATTCGAATTGTAAATGATGAAGACAGACTGCATTGAGAAACCACTAACCGGTTTGTTTTACAAACTTGGTAAATTGGTTGCACGGTGTCCTTGGCCGTTCATCATTATTCCCGTCATCATATCTGGAGGCTGCGGCGTTGGACTGATGCGACTCAAAAATGTTGTGGACGTCGAGTACCTTTACACACCGGACGATGGTCCAGCTAAACAAGAACGCGCAATTATGAGACGACATTTTCCAATGGACTGGTCAACGAACTTTCAGGCCACCAGAAGCCATACTTTGGATGGTTATGCACGCGCTATTTTCATTCCAAAGAATAGTAAAACAAATGCTCTCTCTGAAGACATTTTGAATGAAATCATAGAAATTGATGCCAAAATTCGGAAATTGAACGCGAAAGACGACAAGAAATATGACTATTACTGTGCGAGATCGAACGGCTGTTATAGCAATAATATCTTAGAAATTCTGAATTACACTGCAAACACAATAAATCACATCAGTCTGACATTCCCAACGTTTGATCAGCGATTTCTTGGAACAGAACTGGGTGGTGTGACATTGAAAGAAGGTGAAGTGGTCGAATCTGTTAAAGCAATTCGACTTCAATATTATGTTAAATATGAGAACGCCACGAATAGGGAAGATTCCGACGTTTGGCTCGAGGCGTTTAAGAAATTCATGTTGTCCATTGATACGAACGACGTCAATGTTCATTTTCTAACCTCGAGATCTTTACAAGAGGAACTTGAATCTTCAACCACGGGTATCATTTCCTCGTTTTCCATAGCGTATACTATTCTTTGCACGTTTTCTATGGTGTCATGTCTGATGTTTGATTGGGTCCGTAGTAAGCCTTGGCTCGGGTTGATAGGGGCAGTTACGGCCTGCCTTGCCATACTCACATCCCTTGGGCTGCTATGTGCCGTCGGTGTAGAGTTCACCAGTATTGTCGCAACGATGCCATTCCTAATAGTAGGTAAGTGGCTGATAGTCTATTCAACTAATTGTTTTCATAAAGTTATCTGTGCTTTATCATCGGGTACAATCCTGTGATAAAAGAATGATTGTAGTAAATGTTCATTGTCTTTAGTACCAACTAATCTACCGTTCTGATGTCGAATTCATTTTTGTTGATTAAATTACAACCTAATTAAATGTTTCACTATGCATATGTTCGACATTAGGAATTGGACTGGATGATATGTTCATTCAAGTCGCCGCTTGGCGGGAGACGAGTTATCATGACACTGTCGAAGAAAGAATGGGTCTCACGTTTAAGGACGCTGCGATGTCAATCACGTTGACTTCACTTACAAATACTCTAGCGTTCTGCATTGGTGCCATCACGTCTTTTCCGAGTGTGCGCATCTTCTGTCTTTATACAGGGGTGGCGGTGGTGTTTTGCTTTATCTATCAGATCACTTTCTTTGGAGGATGCATGGCTCTTCTCGGGAGAAGGGAACATGCCAACCGTCATTGTTACGCATGTCTCAAAGTTCTGCCCAAGGAAGACGCTTGTATGTATTTTAGTTGCTATTTAAGTTATTTAACCATCATTATATTCTCAATCACATTTAATTTAATTCAGGTTGAGTCTAAAAAGTCTCATATGTATCTTACAAATATAGTGCAACTTATGTTATCATCTAAAGACCAGAATGTGAATGGACAATCACAAAAAAACAAATCAAGCGTTATGTATGTATTTTATATCGAAAAATATATATTTATTTTAGGTGACAAGTCGTCAATGTATCGTATATGGTGCACTGGAGGCTCTAAAACGAACTCCACAGGGATCACAATCCATTCTGGAACCGAGTTCTTCAAAACTTACTTCGGGCCAGTACTGATGCATCCTGTATCAAAAGTTCTCGTGATCCTCACCTTCTTAGGTTACATGGGAGTGGCTATATGGGGCGTGTTTAACTTGCGAGAAGGCCTGGAGTTGAAGAACCTTGCCCCAGATGATTCTTACGCTACAAGTTTCTATCACCATGACGACAGTCTCTTTAATTCCATATATGGCCCGCGTCTCCAGGTAGCAATCACACAACAATTGGACTATTGGAACGCATCTTCCCTTGAGGAAGTGGACAAGTTGATAAACGAATTGAAAAGGTCAAAGTGGATTTTTGACAATGAGACAATGATTGAGAATTGGCATAGAGATTTTTCAGAATATCTGAACTTAACTAGTCGGTCATTTCTCAATCGCACACAATATATCGATATACTCAAAGAGGAATTTTTAAAGATTCCTGGTTTTAAACGATATCAGTTAGACATTGAATTTACTGATACCGGAAACATATCCGCGTCTCGATTTTTAATTCAGTCGCACGGACAGCGCAATGCGGATGAACAACGCAAATTAATGGAAGAAGTCAGAGATATTGCCAGGCGTTCTAAATTAGCAGTTACCGTTTACCATCCGGCATTTATATTTTTTGACCAGTATTCCGTTGTCCTAAGTAATACTTTGCAAAATATTGGCGTGGCTGTGGCCGTCATGCTACTCGTGGCCATACTTCTGGTACCCCATCCACTAAGTGCGATATGGGTAACGCTCAGTATTTGCTCTATATCTACAGGTGTTGTTGGTTACATGACTCATTGGCAAGTGAATTTGGACTCCGTCTCTATGATCAATATCATTCTTTGCATCGGTTTCTCTGTTGACTATTCTGCCCATATCGCTTACCATTTTGTCATAAGCGATGCTAAAACCAAGAATTTAAAGGCGATTTCTGCCCTACATTCATTAGGTTTACCAATTGCGCAAGGAGCCATCTCGACAGTACTTGGCGTAGCTGTTCTATCTGGCGCGAATACTTACATATTTCGAACCTTCTTTAAAACAATGTTTCTCGTGATTACGTTTGGATTTTATCATGGTCTTTTTGTTCTCCCCGTGTTTCTTTCCATCGTGGGTCCTGGTCCGTCCAACTGCAATAGTACAATAGAGGGAAAAGTACACACTGAGTTTAACTATGATAAGGAAATAAAAGACAAGATCCAAGATGAATATAATCATGACAAGTCAACAGAAGACATTGTACATCATGAGTTAAACTGTTATGATACATTAGAGCCCAAGGGTCACACAGAATTCAAGATTCCTAGACCAGTGGTACTAAAATACCCAAAGGGGCAAGACAATTTGAGTTACATTTCGAATGAACTACCACACATAGATTACTCAAATCAGCAGAATATCAATGGTGGTAATTTTGTATTGTACAATAATAGGCAGATTCGACCTTACAGTCCACCACGCTATCAATAAGCATATGTACAGGCAGTCCCTAATATTGCAAAGTATTACATAACAGGCCCGTAGCCAGAATTAGTTCAAATTTATTATAATGCCTGTCAACCAGCGTCCATAATGCAAATGACGTCATTTTTATTTCAAAACGGTTTTTCAAAAACTTGCAAAGACAATTTTTTATCATATAAACTGATGTTCAATATGTCCCCCATTTATGTCCCTCAATCCTGGCACAAACTTGTCGATAGCATCATTGATATGGTTTTGAAATAATGAATCCCACTTTTCAACAATGCTGTCCTAAAAAGATGTAAGGGGTTCATGGTACACCAACTCTGTTAGAGTTCTCCCCATACGTGGTAGTCGCGGATGTTGGCATTGGGTGATCTAGAGGGGGGGGCAAGTGATTAAGGGGATGAATCAATATGTCCTACACAGATGACTCATTCCTGATGTCATATTCGGATCATTACATTTTCCAACAAGAAAGGGCTCCAAATCATAGATCCCACAAGACATTCAAATATTTGAAGTAAATTGTGCCTCGATTCATCCCCCTAATCATTGGCCCGACAGATCACCCGAAGCTAATATCAGCGACTACCACGTATGGGGAGAACCAACAAAATTGGTGAATCATGAACTCCTTATATATATATTCAGTCCCTTAAGAACAGAATTGTTGAGAAGTGGAATTCATTGTCTCAACAGCATATCAATGATGCTATTGACCAGTTAGGCCGAGCTTGGGGGCTATAATTGATTAAATGGAGAACATTATGAACATCTATTTCTGTTGATAAAAAAACTGTTTTTGCAAGTTTTTGAAAACCCGTTTTGAAATGGAAATGACATATTCTGTATTATGGACGCTGGTTGACATGTTTTATAATATATTTGAATTTATGATATATCAAATTAAAGATAATTAAATTTCTTATCCGATGGTATATAATATAATGACATGTTTTTATCAATAAAATTAATGTTTACTTTTGAAATAAGAGTGTCCCATTTTTTGGACCACCCTGTAGTGAGTAGTCACTCTTTAAAAAGTTCAAATACTTCTTTAAACAGAATGCAGTGGCATTAATAAATGAATCCGGTAATGTATCACGGCAAAATGATGTTCAAAAATGTCACCACAAATACTTACTTTCGTATATCGTTGAGGTAAAACAGATTTTTGTGAAAGATAAATGTAATTATGATTTCACCCATTAATCATTACCCATTTTTTATAATATTATTCACATATTTGTAAATATTCATGTACATATTTGTAAATGTCCAGTTATGTTTTTAATTGTATAGTTTAGTTTGTCATCTAATCTGAACCAATGAATTCGACGTACTAAAGCATGTGATTTATTTTGTATATAGTTTAATATTAAATATTTATTTTATTCCTGCAGTAATTGTTGTGTTTTTGAATTTTTTGTTTTCAAGAAGACACACTTAAAAGTTATTCGTTTCCGTACTCATGTAACATCATTCTACCAACAAATATTTGGATTATTATTAATTGAAGTTTAATTTCCAACTGAACAGTTTTCAGTAAACAAAAAAATACAACAACAAAAATCCTACTCTGCCTTCTTCAAAACACTTAGGGATCCGAAGGGTCTGGAAGGGATAAAATGATTATATTTATGATTTATTCATTATTTCACAATGCTTGGGTTTAGATATCCAGAAATATGATGGGTTTTGTAAAATGATCGGTTTTTCAACAAGTTGATGCGATGTCGAAAAGATTTTAGAAGTTCTACTTAGTGTTCAAATGAACTGATTATATTGTTTTTCTAGTAGTAAGTGTGTAGTTACCTATAAAGAGAGTATACCTCAGTGGATTTATAACTTGGATTGTTTCCCATAAAAGGACGCCAGTTTAACACCACTGATAAAACTCCAAGGGATTTTTTTGCTATTGTAAAAGATCAATCAGGGACTATCAATAATACAGGGTGACCGGAAAAAAGGAAACTATTGAAGTAGGCAAGTAATCATTAACTAGACAAGTGACATCAATGAAATTTTGTACACACCATAATAATGCTATGGAAAGTTCCTGAAAGTCTCAATATAACCAGTCAACTGGTTCAGGAGCTGTGATCATTTACAGTACATGCTCCAATTTCCCACAATCGAGACCAAGGCAGAGCTTGATTCATATGGCAAAATTGCAAATTACACTTACCCCATTCAACTTTTGTTATGGCATTACATTTAGCAGTGTTTGGCTTCTTTAGGTCCACAATTGTCTGAGGATTGTTTTGGTATACATTGTTTTTTCAAATAGCCCTACAAAAAGATCAGGTGGATTCAAGTTTGGGGCGTATGGAGATGAAGAGTTATCGTACCAAAGGCTTATGATCCTGTTGCCAAAGTGTTAAATTAGCAAATCTAGTGAGTTATTTTAGGTATAGGGAGTAGTGCCATCTTACTAAAACCACTATCACTGCTACCCACCTAAATACACAGACGTATCGTCGGTGTATCATGGCGGAACTTCCTCCGGGTCAAGGTTTCGGTAAGATTTTTTTATTTCCCGATTTACACCTACTTATAAGTCACGTTGTGGATAATAATTTGGCTCGAAGTTAAGGAAGATAGTCTAGTTTGAGAATGTGTCGATGGTTTTAGGTTTTATATGTTAACAAAGACACAATTCACGTATTTAGTCCCTCGCTTTTCTTACACTGACGAACGACCAATATCACCCTGACGAATCTTCGATTTGGAGCTGTTGCTTACACTGACGAACCATTTTAACATTTGTGTATACTAGGTAACAATTTCGTATGTATGGTTAAACTATTTCAGAGAGTCATGGATCTCCCAAATACAAATGCTACTATTGTAATAGGGGATGGGGAAGCGCCAAAGATGTTATTACGCATACAATACAATATCATGAGGCAGAGCCGCTACGCGTTCAAAGGCAAGTACTCCATGAAACACGAGGGTCACATGTATACAAATCGCACCATTTTGGTGTTACATGCAGGCAAATAAAGACTTGGCAGGATGAGGGCCATCGCATACAAGTAGACTCTAATTTGAACCTCAAAGTAAAGAGAATCGTCGATGACACAGGTACGTTTTCATGTCTCAACCATCAGTGAAATGGGTTCCTATTTTTTGGACGATGTTTGAAGTATTTTGCCTAACGCCCATTAGTAAATTGTATTTTATTTTATTATATTGTATTGTATTGAAATGTATTGCATTGCATAGCATTGCATTGAATTTCATTTAATTATATTGTATTGAATTGTTTTGCATTGCATTGCATTGCATTGTATTGTATGTACCATTTGAATTACAATTTCATAACGCAAATGCTATTAATAAGTTACTTGTGACAGTTAATATGATGTTTGATGGAGTGCATCGACGTTGCCGTTATCAAGTTAAAATAGAAATCGTTGACATTGAATAATGTTATATGCAATACATAAGGCATTTTGTTCGTTTTTCTTAATTCCAATTAACCTTTTCAGGCCACGAGAGAGTTGCAAATACAGACAATGTGGATTTGACCGACAATGAAGGTATAGTTAACATTTCGTTAATTAAGTATCATATAATTTCCCAATGGTTTAGTTTCTAAATAGCTGAATAAAGCTGACATACAGATGTCAACCTTGCCATACTTCATTTTGGGTGGGCCAGACTTCCATAGCCGTCCATGTTATAAGCTTGCAATAGTCACTTAATTCAATGATTTATGAAAAAGTGCTGGTGGAATGTTTCTGAAACTCAAATGACATACTATGGGATAACCCTGTCAATGTACTTATTGTGATTAATCATGAACTTTTTGGTTATCCAACGGAAAAATCACGGTTTTAAAAATCTAAGCATTGTATCATTTCTGGCTCAATTTTGTAAAGTCATGGAAAATGATTTAGATGACACAACTGTACAAATCAAAGTTATTATTGACAATTTTTCTCTGAATTCAAATATGCTTTAAAAAGAAAGAAAATTTGTTCGAGGTTCATAGTGCAAATCTCCTAAAATCTCACGGAAAACGAGAATTAGCGAGATTTCAAAGCTATATAGAAACTATTCTATTCATGAATGACATGGTATAAGATCGTTGATTAATTTGATATCATAAAATTACTTGATAAAGAAAGGATCAACTAATATATAGATAATTTGGCCATGATTGTTACTGTTACTGTTTTTCCGTATTTCATGTGTATATGCAGATGATCAAAAAATGTTTTCATTTTAATAAAAAATATAACGCTTACACAAATTATACCCACTATGTTTATCGTACTTGGTCTATACGTGTAGATGGGATTCCCACTCCATGGAGTTTCCGTGTTTTTTCTTAATACCAATTAACCCTTTTCAGGCCACCAGAGAGTTGCAAATACAGACAGTGTGGATTTGACCGACAATGAAGGTATAGTTAAGATTTCGTTAGTTAATTATCATATTATTTTCATATTCACATGAATGACATGGTATAAGATGTTTGATTAATTTGATATTATATAATTACTTGATATAGAAAGGATCCACTACATGAATAATTTTGCCATGATAACCATTGTTTCTCATTTGATGTGTACATGTAGATGATTAAAAATGTTTAAAATTCAATAAGAATTTAACATTTGCACAAATTGTACACAATATGTTTATCGTACTTGGTCTTGTTAAGACTTTACCTAGCTATACGTGTAGATGGGGCTCCTCATCCATTGAGTTGTCCTTTTTTGTTTCTTAATACCAATTAACCCCTTTCAGGCCATCAGAGAGTTACAGTTGCAAATACAGACAGCGTGGATTTGACCGACAATGGAGGTATAGTTAACATTTCGTTAGTTAATTATCATATAATTTCCTAATTCACATGAATGACATGGTAAAGAATTGTTGATTAATTTGATATGGCATAATTACTTGATATACATGTAGAAAGGATCCACTACTTAGATAATTTTGCCATGATAGCTATTGTTTCGTATCTGATGTGTATGTAAAGACCTCACTTAGCTATACGTGTACATGGGATTCCTACTCAATGGAGTTGCCGTTTTTACTTTGAAATCTATTCAATTACATTTTATCTTCCAGAAAACTTGAGTGATTCCGAACTAGAGGATTCCACGAACAGCATATCAGGTGATTTTATACCTCCCTAAATTTGCATTTGAGATAAGTAATTTGAGTTCTGTTAAGAATAACGTCTCATTGCCTTACTTAACACCCCTCTATCCCACCAAATTAGATTTCAAACGTTGTTTTTCCCGCCCTACAAAATTAAAACATCACTAGGCAGAAGTTTTTACGCATCTTAAAGTCACCCTCACATATGAACGAATTAAATAAACGTAGTCTTGCGAATTTGACAAATTGTTAATTCTGGCGAATGGAAACGTAAACATGCGAAAGGAAAGGCATGTTTGCGCATACTTCCGAAGCCGCCCTAAGCTTTCCCGAGGGATACTAATACATACGAACACCCGAACAATGTACATATTTTAATAAGAACAAATATTCGCTAGTACACGCAAGTTGACGTCAGGGGGTTTCATTCATATGTAAGGAGGGCGGCCTTTACGTTCTGAATAACACAACCGTTCTAGTAGTTTCTTGAAGCTTGTAAATAGATCCCACATGGTTCTTAGTACGTCAAATCCGTTCGTTCACAGTTTAAGCCCGTTTTCGAGAACGTAGTGAGAACTAGTTTGGTGTAACAAGGGGTACCATTTTCAAGTTGCAGCTAATATTCATTTGAGCACCAGCCTCGCAACATTTTCAAGCACGCATTGGGTACTATTTTGTAGTCACCTAGGGCGTATGAAAAAAGTCATACGTCGACCGTTAGCACAACATGGCGTTCATTGCATTTACACCTAAAATCAAAATTTGTTATGTATCTTCAGAAACTGAGCTGTATGATATTATGGTGAAGGTGTTGGATATAATGCGAGATATGGATCGAGACGAAGACTTTGTATCAGTTCTTAAGTCTATCGTTTCTGGAAAATTGGATACCAATATTTGTTTACATCTTCTTCTTGATATCGGGCAGTATCTGAGGTCACACAAAAGCAGAATGCGATACAGTGAGAAGTCTTTACAGTTTTGGATAACAGTGCAGAAACTTTTCAAGGGCAAGGGAATACGATTTTTCAGAGGCTTCACAGAAGGAGGTAAACACTCAGATCTTACCTTAAGTCCAGCCCTACCAGAGTTTCTCGCGAATAGGCCCATGGGCGTTTATTTTAAAGAGGGGGTATACGTTTTTCCTCCTTTAAAGGTACATGGGCCTTTATTTAGAGTTCTTCCAAATAAACGCTCTATGAAAAATGAACGCCCTGTGGACCCTTTCGTGATAAACTCCAGTATACTAGAATTATGTTTTCTTTTTTTGAGTTCCATATATTTACAATTCTAAGAAAACAACGATCAATACGTTAAAAATGTCATATTTTTAAGTTAGATTCAAACTTACATCAAAAGGTGAATGATTTCTTCATTGCCTCTATAAGATTGCTTGCAAATTAGTAGTTTATATGTAATACTTGTTGCTCGCAAATTAGTTAATACTGATCATATGTGTTTTAGAGGAATCTGAAGATGATGTGTTCGGGAAGAACTTCGCCGTCCCGTCGGATAGAATTATAGAGGAGAAATCTGCTAGGTTTAAGGATATTATGGAAACACCGGGGTTATGTAAGGACGTCATAAAAGAATTTGCAAACGTTCACAAAGGCGAGGACATAAAAATATCAATTGATGGGAAAAAAATTGCCATTGGATTTGGCAAAAAACTCGGTGATGAGGACTTAAATGGTAATGAACCCCAACCTACTCTTAAAGCACGACAAAATCGTTTGAAAGAGGAAGTTCAACTTATTGAGAGCTTAAAAGAGATTACGCAAGAGATGATGACAGATGATGTGGAAGTTACAAGCTTAACTCGTAACCAACGTGACTCCCTACGTGAGCAACTTTTGAAAGTTATCCATATAATTAGTGACCGGATTCGAGAAATGAGGTGTTTGCTACAGAAACGAAGGCTGGCCGTTGAAATGCTAATGAAAAAGGTGGAAGGCCCATGGAGAGAGAGCAAACTGGCACCATCCATAAGCTTCTTCCAAACACAAGTCATTCAGACCAAGTCCATTATTGAAAAAAGTTTAAGCAGTGTAGACGAAATTGGGTATTGCGTTAGCATGCTAAACGGTGCCGAAAGTTCGTATATTTTAGGATTGAACAATGTGGTTCACCTAGATTGTAAAGAAAATTACATTTGTCTGAAAAACGCCAAAAGCAATGATCTTCACATAGATGAAAAAGTGTCAAATTCAGAAATTATAAAACAAAGATCGGACGCTTGGTTTGAAATGAGAAAAACTGCACAGCTGACTGGGAGCACGATGTTCCGTGGGCTTGGATTCCAAAATAAATCAGAGATGCAGCAACATTTCGATACAGTCGTGAAAGGAAAGGCCAAAAAAGTAACTGAACTACAAAAAAGCAATATGCAGCATGGAAGTGATAGCGAAATACATGCTGTGGCAACTCTCGTAAGCAAGATCCTACCAGTGTATTATCCTTCAATGGTGTTTCGTGAAGATGGATGCAAGGTGTTACAAGTCACTGATTGTTTGCGAATAGTCGTTAGTGGTGATGGCAGTTTGGTGGAAGTTGACAGCAACAAAAATCACAATGTCAAGGTTCAAGTAGAGTTCAAATGTCCTGTCCCTGGCAAAAAATTTCAAACACCCGTCTACTATAATATACCCCTCTATTATTCAACCCAACTGCTCTCTGAAGCTGTGGCATATGGATGTCCATCTTTCATCAACCTTTGTTGGACGGATGAAAGCTCTACATATTTTGAAGGTCAACCGGATAACGACACTTGGGAAAATGTTCTCGAAATTGGAAGAGAGATTTATGATCACAGAAGTCCTTCAAAGCCAAAGCAAATACCCGAGAAGGTTCCTCAAGTCAGAGAGAAGCTTAAAGATATAATGGAAAATACACAGTTTCTAGCGGAATTTCCATCAGTGAAAGGAATACCATGTTCATGTAATGACGTCGAGTCTCTAGACGAAAGTTCTGCCCGCGGGTATCATAATAGTAGGACACATATCAACGAGCCACGAGCGAAGTCTTTGGAACATTTTGTTACCACATTGGTGAAAGCTGAAGATGTGAATCGGGAAGCATACGATATATTAAGGAGACCGGCAAAGGAAGTGATTATTCCAGCGATCTCGACTTTAGAGCGGACAAAATCATCGGAAGAGAGAGACCATGCTGCTATTACAGGATTTTATCTAGGTGGCTTTAGCTTACCAAATACTTCAATGCGAGGTATAATCAAAGACACAGGTATTGCCTGTCAAAACGAGAATTTGAAATTGAAAGTAGTTTCATTTGACGGGCAGTTCATCGAAATTGCCACGTGTGATGATAATGGCAAAGCATTAACAGTGTGCAAACTTCACAAACAAATATGGAAGAAAACTGAACGTCTCAAAAGAGTAGAGAAGATGAAAACTATTATGAAATGGGCCCTTTGTGACGTACCATCGATTAAATCTGTTCATGATCTGAAAGACACGTTTAGCATAGATTTTGTAGAGAAACGAGCAACTATAAGTTTGAAGTGTGGTTACAAAGAAATGTATACAGGAAAAGATATAGCAGCAAAATTAAAAGCATGTCAGAAACAAATGGAGAAACAACCTCAAGAAAACACTAACGATGATAGTTCAACCTGTGAGGAAGATCAAATACTACACCATCTACCTAACCACATAGTTGAACATTTAGATGCAGCTACACTAAAAGCAATTCAAGAGGTGAACATGCAAATAGCACTATTAGCAAAACAATCGGGTGGAATGAATTTAAATCAAGAAAACACTGATGATGACAAAGATATTAACAAAAATCAGCAAGATTCTACAAATAGCCAAGGAGAAAGAGAAAGCACAAATATCCAGGAAGGAATAAATAGAAATCCGCAAGCTTCTGAAAAAGGTCGCAATCAAAGAGACGGAGACCAGCATGAATACTCGTCTGTCCAGGAAGAACAAGACATGGAGCAATATGATCAAGCCGGTGGCTACAGAGACAAAAACATGGATAACACCGAAAATGAAATCACAAACAGGTCACAAGACTATCAAGCTTTGTTATGTGGACTTATAGCAGCTGATCCAGATGAAAACAGCAAATGGAACACAGTTTCCGAAGGTGATTTCAAATTAAAACTATCAGATGCAGATACAATTGCAAAATCTTTCACAGTAAATGATCTTCTAAACATTCTTAGACTAGTCGACGAGCAAACACACAAAAAACTGCGTAATGCCAGAAAGCCAGATCTAGTAAATTATGTCAGTCATAAGTTTGGTGATTCCTCAAGGATGCCAGAAACTGCAAGGAGCCTAAAGAAAATTGCAAGGGATGTAATAGCAAAATGGCCGTCAACTGTCATAAATATTATTTATGCCACAAACATATTCAAGGATGAATATATAGAATGGGAAAGTAACAATGCATTTAATGAAAGGACACGCATAGTTGTGGGTGAAACATCGTATGATATACCATATTGGTACGCCCAGCCAGCACGTATTGAAGGTTTAGACAATGAAGTGATGTTCATCATCGACCCTCACCATATATTTGTCAACAATCGTTCTCGCGTATGCTCAAAGGGCATGCTAGGGATGGGCATTAAATCCACTGCGTGGATTGATATTGCCGAGAACTGCAAAGAAAACGGGACCGGTCTTACAACTGAACACGTGGTAGAGTTGAGAGACAAACAAAGGAATAGTTTCGCACAAATTACATTCAGCAAGAAGGTTCAAGAAGAAATGGAAAGAAAGGGGTTCAAAACGGAAGCAAATTGGTGCCGACTAATACGTAACTTCTATCGCGCAGTTGATGAATCTGGAATAGCTGTAGAGGAGAGAATACAGTCGTTATTTGAAATGCGATCGTTTCTACTCGGGTGGTTCGCATTAGCGGATTTCCCACCTCCAGGTGGATTTGTACATGGAATGCCAGTGACGCAATTTGAGGGGCTCCTTACTAACATAGACCGAAGGCTACAGCTGTATTCTCTTGCCAGTAAACATACCTACAATCACCGAGCACTCAGCACCCTCGACTCAGAAAACATATTTGGAGCGTTCCAGGTTAGACAACTTTATTCTACTTTAAATAATCACAACTGACAATATTATTAAGTTCGATGCTCATGGGGTCAAAATACAGTTTATACATGTTCTAAATGAAGTAAATACCACTAACATGTCAAACCAGGTACCGTTCTTGGAAATATTTTTATAAATGTGAAATTTGATGTTCAAAATCGGGAACACAATGTCAAATGCCAATCATGATATCACGAACAGAATGGGTTTTGAATTTGTTGTTGTAGTTCATAATCTCCAAACGCTTATAAAGTGTTAGTGTAATTGATTGCAACTGTATTCAATGAAGTGAGGAATTGATTCAAAGATGACTACTTTGGAGCCACGTTTTTTCCTCCGATAAACAAAAAATATGATGTCAGAAATCTATCTATTTACAGGATTACGATCCGAAAGGAACCGGGGTTCTACGTGCTGATGATATCCCAAATGCTCTTGGATCTGCTGTTTGTCTCTTTAGCACAAGATTAAACAAAAATCGGTACGTAAAAGTTGAATTATATGAATCTATTGAAATTTTAATCTGCAACAATATTTTGCAAAAGATCCTGGAAAGTACACTTTGGAAAGATTGAGTAAAGATCGACGAGTTGTGCTAAAAATATTTTAACCAATCCTCAAGAAATCATATTCATTTTGCCAAGAATAAGTGTTCAGTTTCAAACTAGGTCGGTATTCACTATAGGACTATAATTCAACATGGAAGTCAATGTGAGAAAATGGTTTGCTGAATAAAAACGTTCACTTTTCAGGCCCTTAGCAAGGGGGCATTCGGAGGTTTCGGACGAACCCAAACATTCTTTCAAAATCATGCAGTTTTCACTTTTTGACCATTTTTTGTGCCAAATTTATCAAAGTGAACCCCCATGGAATTTTTTGACAAGTGGACCCCCCCCCCCTGGCAAATCCTGGCTACGGGCCTGCTATTGATAGGTGTTCACTAGAGAGCTAGGTGCTAACACGGTTTTACTGTATTCACACCGGATTACATCTGATTTTTGTTTAATTATTCATTACATGGAACATATTTCGTACATGCTTTGACTTGGCTACATGTATGCTTTATATTTTAGTGGATTTAAGATGAACACCACAAAAAGACCAAAAGTGTACAGCGATCATGCGCTAGATGAAAGGGCCGATGTACAGGATACTGTTAATGGCTGTAAAGACACATCCGAATTAAAGGACGGGACTAAGGAAATTGTGATAAAGTAAGTAAAAACACATTTAGTCTGGCAAACATATGCCATCTTAAAGAGAGAATCAGAGATGGAACCGGTCAACGAAAATTGTTTCAATTTTAGAATATTTCTGGCTCATGCCATTCCTTGTTAAGAATCTGCAAAGCCATACACTCTTTATTTCAGGAAAGATAAAGATTTTACGATAATGTATTATTTTTCTATAATTCTTATTATTTGGGAGAATTAAAACATTTTCATCTATTTTTGCACTTTGAAGCCATAATAACTTCACCAATTTAGGAATATATCGTGAATCCCTTGGGAGATATTGCATTTGAGATTGTAAGGAATATATTGGTATGTCAATTGTACACGTTGCTTGTAATTTTGTCATCCCTATAGATCTGATTCTGCCTTTAACTATATTTGGTTAATCTTGTTTTGCAGTCAACATCAATTTGACACTAAGGCCAGGCGTACCAGCAACCCTAAACGTAGTTCAGGTCTACTAAATGCTTACGGAGCTACGGCAAGCGGGGCTCAAGGCGTCAGGGTGCATCACAGATTCAACCAAGAGATGGTTTATGCCCACAGACGGTCATTAATTAAGGATTCTCAAATAGATAACGATTTGGACAGTATAAGAAACAGTTTACATTGAAACAATATGTAACTTTATTACAAAGCAAAAAACTCATTACTGTACTTAATAGTAGTAATCAGTAGTTTCAAAGTGACAAAAAAGCTTCAACAATGCTTTATATGAAAATATACATGGTATATGACTGTCAACTAATTGCATTTGCAAAGAGCAAAGATGACTTTTCTCTTATTTTGGAACAATTCACATTTAAAATCGTTTAGAAGGTGAACGGGTGAGAAAATGAAGTAGCCAAAGTTAAAGACAATCATTGGATTGGCAAAGTAAAGCACATTTCCTGCACGTATTGAAAAAATATTTTGTGATTCATAACGTATGATATGTTCTACTTGTGATTTAATGTTTGTAACGTTTGATTAATGATTCCTAATCCAATGATTATCTCTCCATTGTATTTTTTCAACAACCATTCGAGGATGGCAATAAGACTCAATCTTATCATTTTCAAGAGTAGCTCAAAACAGTTTGTAAAGCAAATTTTAGTGACAGTCTGAAGTACATTATTTCAAATTATAATTAACTACACAAATGTCAAAATAATACGTGTATTAATTAAGAAACGTATGCCTTGTATATGTAAGGCTCGATGACCTTAAGGCATAAAATACATTGATTACATGTATTCTATAAAAAACGGTAGATGCGTATTTTTCTTTTATTAATGCACAACGAGATATGAGGAGACTCAAACAAAAGTTAGCTTAGACTCAACTTAAATCAAATTAAAATGAAAAATAATCAATTGATATTACATAATATATCGGTATATTGGTTCCCTTAAACCAAACAACATTTGTAATCATTTTCTATTAATTGTGATACTCTATGTAAATGATTTGCCATTTGTAAAACATAGCTATGTGCTATACAGAAAAATATTTCTTTATGTAATTACACATATTACAGAAAATGATCATATAAAATATATAAGGGATAGATATCTAAATGTAAATATGCAAGTTTAAAACATCATAGAGCAACATTAAGTGCTTTTTATTTTCCATGGACTTAAATCAAAATGGCTATACGTTTTATACGTGTATATGTTATGTAGTGTAAGTAGTGTCGTACGCTCCAAAATGTTACTAGTTATCGGGACTATGGCACAATAAGATCCCATATGGCAACCAAGGGCTGCCCAAAACTTCCTTTGGATGATGCTGTGAGTAGCGCCACTGAATTGTAAGCCATAGGTCAGATAACCCTTCATCTCCATATACCCCAAACTTGAATTCATCTGATTTTTTTTGTTGGTCTACTTAAAGACAATTTATACCAAAATAATCCTCATACAATTGCTGACCCAAAGAAGGCAATCACTGCTAAATGTAATGCCATAGTAATGCCATAACAAGGGTTGAATGGGGTATGGGTAATTGATTACAGTTCCTGAACCAATGGACTGGTTATATTGACACTTTCAGGAACAAATTTCCATAGAACTGTTCTGGTGTGTGCAAAATTTTATTGATGTCACTTTTCTAGTTTAGGATAAATTGCGTACTTCAATGGTCTCCTTTTTTTCCGGTCACCCTGTATAACTGTTTCAAAGTATTGAAAACAGGGGTTTTGCAACAGGACAATAGGTTACTACACTAATATATAAATCAAAATGACGAATTACAACTTACAGAAAATTAAAATAACCAATCAATCGTAATTGCTTGCAAATTATTATAATCAATGTTTATTATCATTCATATGTATTAATTTGTTATGTTTTTTAAGAACGTCTCAATAATAAATTCCACGTTAACAAATTCTGCATCCACTACAACATTTCCGAAAAAGTGCATCGTATGCCTGAGTACAGCAACATGCAGGTGAAATACCCGATCTACGTCTTATCACACCAGCACAGCACATACTAAACCTGGAATCGTAAGCCTTCGTACCACAACATCCTGGCGACATACCCGAGCGTCGAACAATGGTACCACTGCAACACATACTAAACCTGAAATATATCAAATAAATCTCATTATATGCATTATTTGTTACATTTAATTCAGTTCATTGACTTCATACAAGCTTGAACCCAGGGCATCGTTTCAGAGCAACACAGCTATAATCCAGACTGTCTACTATTTGACCATTGCAACACATACTAAACCTTGAATCGTAGACCTTCGTGCCACAACATCCTGGCGATATACCCGAGCGTCGAACGATCGTACCACTGCAACACATACTAAACCTTGAATCGTAGACCATCGTGCCACAACATCCTGGCGATATACCCGAGCGTCGAACAATGGTACCACTGCAACACATACTAAACCTTGAATCGTAGACCTTCGTGCCACAACATCCTGGCGATATACCCGAGCGTCGAACAATGGTACCATTGCAACACATACTAAACCTGGAATCGTAAGCCTTCGTGCCACAACATCCTGGCGATATACCAGAGCGTCGAACAATGGTTCCACTGCAACACATACTAAACCTGGAATCGTAAGTCTTCGTGCCACAACATCCTGGCGATATACCTGAGCGTCGAATGATCGTACCACTGCAACACATACTAAACCTGAAATATATTAATTAAATCTCATTATATGCATTATTAGCGACATTTACTCCCGGGCATTTACTCCAGTTCATTGACTTCGTACATGTTTGAACCCAGGGCATCGTTTCAGTGCTACACAGTTATAATCCAGACTGTCTACTATTTGACCATTGCAACACATACTAAACCTGGAATCGAAGACCTTTGTGCCACAACATCCTGGTGATAAACCCGAGCGCCGAACAATCGTACCACCGCAGCACATGTTAAACCTGAAATCATTTAGTCTCATTATACTTCTTTGTACACTTTGGTTTGTTAATATGTTCATATATCTCTAAACCTGGAATCGTAAGCCTGCTTGCTACAACTTCCTGGCAATAAACCTGAGCGTCGAACGATCGTACTTCTGGAACACATACTAAATCTGAAATATGTTAAATAAATCTCATTATATGCATTATTTGTGACATTTACTTCAGTTCATTGACTTCGTACATGTTTGAACCCAGGGCATCGTTTCAGTGCAACACAGTTAAAATCCAGACTGTCTACTATTTGACCATTGCAACACATACTAAACCCGGAATCGTAGACCTTTGTGCCACAACATCCTGGTGATAAACCCGAGCGTCGAACAATGGTACCACTGCAACACATACTAAACCTTGAATCGTAGACCTTCGTGCCACAACATCCTGGTGATAAACCCGAGCGTCGAACAATCGTACCACCGCAGCACATGTTAAACCTGAAATCATTTAGTCTCATTATACTTATTTGTACACTTTGGTTTGTTAATATGTTCATATATCTCCATGTTTGTATGTGATTCAAACGTCTGGTCATAAGAAGCCGTTCGGCGACAACCATCGCAATATATACTCACTTGGAATCATAAGCCTTCTTGCCACAACATCCTGGCGATATACCTGAGCGTCGGACAATCTTTCCACTGCAACACATACTAAACCTGGAATCGTAAGCCTTCGTGCCACAACATCCTGGCGATATACCCGAGCGTCGGACAATCGTTCCACTGCAACACATACTAAACCTGGAATCGTAAGCCTTCGTGCCACAACATCCTGGCGATATACCCGAGCGTCGGACAATCGTTCCACTGCAACACATACTAAACCTGGAATCATATCCCCGGGTTCCACAGCATGCTGGACTAATTCCCGATCGCCTTACACAGCAATTAGAACAGCACATACTGAAAGGGTATCTGCAGTTCGATCCACATAGTGAACACGTTGCTGAAAATATATTACATTTGTGATTTGATTCGTCAAATGTGGAAGCCATTTTAAATTTTTCATGACTCGGAACTACCTTGATATATCATGTCTCAGTCCTTTTACATTATAATGATACATTGCATGTAAAGAATATTATTACTAGTATGTGATTTGAAAATTTTGTAAATTATTGACAAATAATGCAACAACTAACTTTGACCTAAGCAAATTATGAATAGGTGAAAACATGTACAATAAACCTAGGGTCATGAAAAATAACAATCATATGCATATGATATTAAATGTTCTGAACAAGTGTCAATGATGATACAATACACAGGGTGGTACAAAATGGGACACTCATATTTCAAATATAAAATATTTTCTTGATGAAAACATGTCATATTATATACCAGAGGATAGGGAATTTACTTAATATCTTAAATTTTGTCTGTCGACCAGCGTCCATAATATTAATGATGTCATTTTCGTTCCAAAACTTGCAAAACCCAAGTTTTATTATCAACTTTATTTACATAAACAGACGTTCAATATGTTCACCATTTTGATCAATTATAGCCCTCAATTCTGGCTTAAACTGGCCAATAGTATCATTGATATGCTGTTGTGGCAATGAATTTCACTTCTCAATAATTCTGTCCATAAGGGACTGAGTAGATGATTCGATGGGTACATATCAGGGTGGTTTAAAAACAACATAATTGGATCATCAGATGTCAACGTGTAGGCCTACCACGTAATGAAGAAAAGAACAGAATTGGTTTACCATGAACCCCTTACATTTACTCGGTCCCTTATTAAGAATAATATTGTTGAGAGGTGGCATTCATTGTCTGAACAACATACCTCAATGATCCAGTTTTAGACAAAATTGAGGGCTATAATCGATCAAAATGGCTAATATATTGAACGTCTCTTTATGTAAATAAAGTTGACAAAAAACTTGTATTTGCAAGATTTGCTAAACCTATTTTGAAACGAAAATTACGTCATTTATATTGTGGACGCTGATTGACGGACAAAATTAAAGATATTAAGTAAATTCCCTATCCTCTGGTATATAATATGACATGTTTTCATCAAGAAAATCAATATTTATATTTGAAATATGAGTGTCCTATTTTTGGACCACCCTGTATATTCTTTTCTAAATTTATGTTTCATGATACAATATAGAGAAAGGCTGGCCTTTGGGGTTAACTAGTTAAAAGAATGTCGAGTATAATTTTTAAAGATTAATTAATGTTCAAGATGAGCTTTTACCATAGCCCGAATTGCCGAATATATGGCCATTTATTCTTTTATTTCGTGAATTTGAAAACCAAATTGCTATCAGAAACATCATCATAGAATATCAAAGTTTTATAATTGATTACCTTCTATTATGTGCCCAAGATCTAGAGCCAAGATTAAAACCAACACAGCACGCATCTTGAATGTTGCACACTACTTCGAATAGTGTAATACAAAATATCATTGTACATGCAATTAAATATATAAATAGTAACAATAACTAATCATGTTATACTAGTATAACCAAATAAATTTTACTCGGACAATAAAAAGCACGAATATAATAAAGATATTTGCGCATAGCAACTAGCAGCCACTGATGTTCATTGTCCGATGGATATTATATTGTTTGCAAACGGCGTTTATGCACTTTAGTGTTGTAGTTTATTAAACACTTCATCATTATTCATTCATTTAGATCTACAATTCATGCACAGGGTGAGAAGCAATAGTAAACTGAATTAGTTTGTTTTCATTAAACATGGTTACATTAGCATTGAAGGCATTATCCCGATCACAGTGCTATATAACAATGCAATACTTGAGAAAATGCACGGGGGAAGAATAAATCCAAATCGACACAGTTCCTTTTAGCAAAATTCGAAAGGTTTGATTTTGAGTTCTTTTAAATTTCTTTGGGGGTAGGGATACACCTTACAGATTGCATCACAGACTGAGTATATCCAACCGAGGTGAACATGGTTATTCGGGATATCATTGGAAAGCCATTTAACTATCTTTAAAGTGATATTAATGTCAAGGCGTTTGATTGTATCTTATGATGTCATAACGGTAGAAAGAAACAAAGGTTCATTCAAATCTGCCCAACCTCAGAACCTCAAAAAGGGATAAAACCTACAAAAAACCCAAATTGCGCCTGTTAATAGGTTGGAGACTTCAGAAGAGTTTCCCATAGGTGACCATTATAACATTTTACCCTATGTCTTATTAACCCTTAGTATTTAGGCCCAGTGCAACACAATTCAACACAGTGTTCGGGAGAGACGTACCTAGCTTGCTATAACAAACTTACCATGGGTTGTCCACCGAATTTTTGAGAGGAATTTACTTGAAGACACTTAGCCCCTCTATCGTCAGATTTCTCAGAAAATTCTGGTAAAATCACCAATGTCAAAATCACTATTTTCCACTCGACTTTGACATGTTTTCAGATAAATTAGGACCTACCTTATAAATATTGAGCCCCGATTCACTTACCAAACGCCAGATGGCACTCTGACGGGATGGGGGAGGAGAAAAATGACTTTTTATACAGAAAACCAATTCACTATATTCATAGTCTCCTGACTATAAAAAGAAATCCTAAGTTTAATTTTAGTAAACTTTGATTTGCCTTTGAATTAATCTGATTTTTGTTGGTCTACTTGAAAGACAATTTATACCAAAATTATCCTCATACAATTGCTGACCTAGCTAAAGAAGGCAATCACTGCTAAATGTAATGCCATAACAAGGGTTGAATGGGGTATTGGTAATTGAATATTTTGCCATATGAATCCAGCTCAGCCTTTTGCTCAATTATGGTCATTTGGAGCATGTATGTAAATGATGACAGTTCCTGAACCAATGGACTGCTTACATATTGACACTTTCAGGAACTTCCCATAGAACTGTTCTGGTGCGTGCAAAATTTTATTGATGTCACTTATCTTGCGTACTTCAATGGTCTCCTTTTTTCGGTCACCCTGTATAACTGTTTCAAAGTATTGAAAACAGGGGTTTTGCAACAGGACAATAGGTACACTAATATATAAATCAAAATGACGAATTACATCTTACAGAAAATTAAAATAACAAATCAATCGTAATTTGCTTGCAAATTATTATTATCAATGTTTATTATCATTCATAAGTATTAATTTGTTATATGTGTTAAGGACATCTCAATAATAAATTCCACGTTAACAAATTCTGCATCCACTACAGCATTTCCGAAAACGTGCATCGTATGCCTGAGTACAGCAACATGCAGGTGAAATACCCGATCTACGTCTTATCACACCAGCACAGCACATACTAAACCTGGAATCGTAACCCTTCGTGCCACAACATCCTGGCGATATACCCGAGCGTCGAACAATGGTTCCACTGCAACACATACTAAACCTGGAATCGTAAGCCTTCGAGCCACAACATCCCGGCGATATACCCGAGCGTCGAACAATGGTTCCACTGCAACACATACTAAACCTGGAATCATATCCCCGGATTCCACAGCATGCTGGACTTATTCCCGATCGCCTTACACAGCAATTAGAACAGCACATACTGAATGGGTATCTGCAGTTCGATCCACATAGTGAACACGGTGCTGAAAATATATTACATTTGTAATTTGATTTGTCAAATGTGGAAGCCATTTCAAATTTTCATGACTCGGAACTACCTAAGTTGATAGGCCTATATCATGTTTCTTAGTCCTTTTACATAATGATGTATTTCATACCTACTGAGGTTCTAGGTACAGAACGATATATACTGTATCTAGCCAAGGCCCGGGGCGGGATGGATACACGCTGTATCCATCCCGGTCCCGCTCCTGAATTCTTTCAAAATTTTTCTTTCAAATTTTTTTTGAAATTTTTTCAAATTTTTATTTTCACATTTTTTTTAAAGATTTTTCATATTCTTTTTCAAAATTTTTTTTTCACATTTTTTCAATTTTTTTTCAAATATTATTTTTCGAAATATGAGTTATATGAGTTTGAAAATCTCAGAAACTTAAAAAACCACTTTATAACACCAAGAAAATGCGTATCTTAAGTATATTTTTTAATTTTGGAACTTTATAGGGTAAATGACGTACCTAGAGCATCAGTAGGTATGAAATACATCTGTTATGTACGGTCGGTTTTGGATACAGGGTTTATCCCTCGGGAAATATGTGTATATCCCTCGGTCCCTGCGGTCCCTCGGGATATACACATATTTCCCTTGGGATAAAACCTGTATCCAAAACCTCCCAGTACATAACCCTTATATATTGCATTAAAAGAATATTATTATGTGATTTGAAGGTTTTGTTAATTATTGACAAATAATGCACTACTAACGTATGGTCGGACAAGTATTGGGGTTACATGACTGGGTGATGGTATTAGTTGCCGAACCACTACATGAAGGGGTGCTTCCAGTGTTACTGTAAATTGGCTGTCTTCTTCGTGTTCCAGTTCGAGTACAACCTCCACTTTTCCTTGAACACGAGCCAAAGCTGTATGATCCCCATGGTCCCCAATTGCAACCTAATATTAGAAACAAAGTAAATAAAATGGTTGTCTCGAAAATCTAAATATAATAGAAGCTTTGCAATATATATATATACCATGTATTGTATCCGCCTTCAATATCACTCACATTTCTGGGCATTACAAGGGACAGTATTAATCTGAGTCGGTGGCCCTGAACAGGTCGCACTTGTACCAGTGTTACTGTATATTTGATTTCTTGACCTGGTCCCAGTTTTAGTGCCTCCGCCACATGGCTTTGAGCATCCACCATAGACATAAGCTTGCCACGTGCCCCAATTACAACCTAGTCATTTTAATGGGAAACGAGACAGTTCAATACACGAAACCATTCTGTATGTGAAAATATTCATGAAATGAGGAAATAATTCAAAAAAGTATAGTCTGTGGGAATATTTTACAGCACAGACGGTCATTAGGAAACAATACCATCGGCATCCATGGCCAGACATGATTCAAGACATAAATAAACTGCTTTAAACACTCCTCCCACAAATATCATATTATTATATAAGTTTGCACAAACATTACGTGAATCATCTTACACTGTTGGAGATTACATGGAACATCTTCAGACCACGTTGATGACCCAAAGCAAGTTGATGTTGTTCCAGTACCACTATACACGGCGCTTCGGGTACGTGAAGTTTTCTGGGTTCCTCCACCGCATACCTTCGAGCATGCCCAATATGTGTATTGCCCCCAGACACCCCAGTTGCAGCCTAATATGTACAACAGGGGTGAAATCTCGACCGCATTACCTATCAATCACTTGAAATTACCCCTCCCACTCAAGAGAACAAGAGAAAGAAGCCGTTTTTGATTCTATTACGGTCTCCCCATGAAAAAATATGAATTCACCCTAAATTTCAAAATGAATGGACTGGTTTAATTATTACAGTTTTATGTACACTAGTGTCTTATTGACCTATATTCAGCACTGTATTGATAAATAGACCAATAATGAGGTCAATATTCAATGGTGAAGTGTACAGGCGTACATGTTAAATCGGGTTGTCTTTTTTGTCTTTCAAAATCCATTTGCATCTTCCCCCTTCCTACATATTATCCAAATATATAATAAATTAATGAAATATGATAGTATAATATTTGAATTTATAAAGTGCAAAAATTGTTTTGGAGCATTTTAAAGCCATTGTGTACGAAAAGAGTATGACAAAAAATGTATTAATCTTTTGATTTAAAGTATGACCTGAATCAAACTCAAACATCATATTTGCACATCTGATGTGATATACCATTGTGTCAATTTGTGAAATTATGTTTAGATCATGGTTTATTTGGTATTTTTGTGATAATCAATGGAAACCAATGACCACTATTGAAATTTGATGATATCACCATGTTAAGTCAATGGTGCATTAACCCATGTAAGTCAATACACCCTTGATGAACTTTATGACCCAATCTCAGCCTATGTGTGTCCAACAATATTTTCAAAGGTATAACTTGAAAAAATCATTTTGACCATGGGGGTACTTGGTGTTGCTGCTTGGTGTTGTCAGATTGTTAACGCCAAATGTCCATGAAAAAGGTTAAATGCAATGACATCTAAAACGATTGAAATTAACATTCACCGTCCGCCAATTTGAAAGAGAAGTTAACTTCCACGTCCTACCTCTTGATACTGACCAGTGAAACATGTACTTACATTGTTTTGTATTACACTCTGCACTTGATGTTTCAAAGGAAGGTCCGGAGCACACAGCACTATCACCTGTGTTACCGAAGACCATTACTCTAGAACGAGTTCTACTCATAACTCCAGATCCACAAGGTTTAGAACATGATCGATCAGTATATGGACCCCATGTATCCCAACTGCAACCTTTAACACCAAAACATTAATTGACTTAAATAAGTATACTTGAAACGTTCAATACATCATGTTCCGGAGTTTCATTGTCACACAACAAATGTCCATGAAATGGTTAAATTCAATAACATCTAAAACAATTGAAATTAACATTCACCGCCCGCCAATTTGAAAGAAAAGTTAACTACCATTACCTTCTCTTGATACTGATTAGTGAAACATGCACTTACATTGTTGTGTATTACACGCTGCACTTGATGTTTCAAAGGAAGGTCCGGAGCACACATCACTATCACCTGTGTTGCCGAAGACCATTACTCTAGAACGAGTTCTGCTCATAACTCCGGATCCACAAGGTTTGGAACACGATCCATCAGTATATGGATCCCATGTATCCCAACTGCAACCTTTAACACCAAAACATTAATTGACTTAAATAAGTATACTGGAAACGTTCAATACATCATGTTCCGGAGTTTCATTGTCACACAACAAATGTCCATGAAATGGTTAAATTCAATAACATCTAAAACAATTGAAATTAACATTCACCGTCCGCCAATTTGAAAGAAAAGTTAACTACCATTACCTTCTCTTGATACTGATTAGTGAAACATGCACTTACATTGTTGTGTATTACACGCTGCACTTGATGTTTCAAAGGAAGGTCCAGAGCACACATCACTATCACCTGTGTTGCCGAAGACCATTACTCTAGAACGAATTCTACTCATAACTCCGGATCCACAAGGTTTAGAACATGATCCATCGGTATATGGACCCCATGTATTCCAGTTGCAACCTATAACACCAAAAAAGGACTTTAAGAAATACACTGGAAACTGTCAATACCAGAATAGTAATTGTAATAGAGTAAAACACGCCTCAGATAAGGAATATAAAATGATAGTGCCGGGATTGCAGCAGATATGGCCCATCCGTATATGAGCCCCATAAATCCCAGTTGCAAACTTAAACGATAAAACATAAAAATAAATTTGACTAGAAACTTAGAAAACACTGAATTGTTGGCGACGTTGTAGAATTTGTTGCCTTTACTAGCCATTGCGATTAACTTAGGTCAATTACGGGTATGTTTCAACGTTGCGTTTGGCATTCATACAGGGGTTTGCGTAAGTCTCATTTAAAAGCTTTAAGAACAAGCAATAACGCAGATGCGAGTAGGTAGTTACCAGTTTTACCACCAGGTGGCTCGTTCGGGCAAGATAGCATGGCGGGTATAGAAGAAAGTTCCCTTTAACTTAAATTACATCTGTTTTATTGGTTCAATTTTCATATAACCCTTATGTATCTAATAGTTATGCAAATTAAAATATGTCCAGTAAAAGAAAATGTTATCTGTCCAACACAAGAAAAGATATTTCAATTTTAGTGATTTTGTAACATGGGGTCTATGGGGAATCAACCCGAACAAGAAGTCACATTTTCACAAAAATTAAATTTTCAAAGTTGATAAATAACTTTCGAAACCATATTTTTAGATGTACTTTTACATGTAGATTTCGAATATGACATCACTTTGACTGAATTTTGAATATTTAATGACGTAAATCAAGATTATTTCTACTCGCATCTAGTCTATTGTCGGAGTTACTGCATTTGAAACAAAAGTAGTCCAAATTTCAAGAAGAATTAACATATAGAGGAACTATTGCTAGTTTATGTAAATCAATTTTTTCTTCAAACTTCTCAAATCTATTTCAAAACTAGAGAAAACATACATCAACGTATAACTCGATTTGGTCATAACTTAGATATTCCTAAACATAGAACCAGAATTGGTGAAAATTCTATTAAGGTCCATGGTTCATATATATGGAATTCCCTCAATGAAGATATTAGAAATAAACCATTAAATTCACTCATATCTCGTTTGAAAATTGACCTCCTGAGTACAGAGTAACCAAAACATTTATTTCATTTCTTTATTGTCTCATATTATTGTATTTGTATATTGTATTTATATTATATTATTGTATTGACCTATGTACCACTTTAAATGTTCACAGTTTATCATGTTTATTGTAAATTTAATTATGGGCAGTCATACACCCCCTGGGGTGTCATAGCCTGTATAATGTTGTAATTTTTGTAATGAAAACTGAAATAAATTATTTTGAAATTGAATTGAATTGAATTGAAATGAGCATATAAAAATCTCAAATCTTACGTAGAATTGTCGTCGTTGTTTGCGTTGTCAAAGATGTTGTAGTTGTCAAATTCCAAGCCATGGTGGGTGTGGAATTCAAGGTTGTTGCAGTTGTAGGAGTTGTAGAAGTGGTTGATATGCACCTAGGAATTTTTAAACGTTTTATGGGGCATTTATACTGCCTGTTACATCTGCATTTACGACATCTGTCCTTTGACCACCACCACTTCCATCTTTTTACGACATCGCCTTCAACTTTACATGCTCTTCCGACTATTGCTAAAAAGTGGTAGCGTTAATTATAAAAAACACCGAGTATTTAATTCTATTTTAACTGTAAAATTTAAAACACATGTGGGTCGTCTTAAAAGAGTATTTTAAAGGGTAAAGCATGTCGCGATCCCGGAATAATACTCAAGGGTTCACAGGTTGCTGCGGAGACACCTCTGCCTGTTGATGTAGGAATAGTATACTAGTAAAGATCGCCAAACATTCATAAAAGGGAGATTTTTATTTTGACAAATCAATTTCACATTTTATGGGTGAAATTTCAAGATCTTCTATTTGTGTTTATAGGAAAATTAACGTTTAGATTATCCCATCACGTATTAGCACATAGCATGGTCTCATGAAATTATCCTGTAAATTAAACTAGGCAGTTTGGGTTAGTACAAGGTTTTATATTGGCTGATGCTTATGTAGCCTGATCCAGTAGACTCGCCTGGAGCCGCCATGTTGTTTTTACACCGGAAGCTTATCGTGTAACATCACCTGGAAGATATTTCTTTTCGAGTAATAGCAATTTTGAAATATAGAATTCTTATCCTTACAATAGTTATAAAATGTATTCACAATCTCTGGTTGAAAAATTCTTAAGATTCAGAATCTTACAAAAATCATGTTTTAAGTCACAAATAGCTACTTGTATTTAGAATCATACATGAACATTTTAATTATCAGAAAAAATTGAAATTTGTAAAGATATTTACAAAGATGCTTGAGTGAATTCCTACAATATCATGTTTTATATTATATTTTTTATATTATATGTAAATGTTTGCTGTTAATATATTTTGTAATATACAGGGTGGGCCAAAAAAACAATACCCAACTTCAAATCAGGATAAAAATAGTTACATTCCATATGGTACATCGACTTAAATATCATTTTAAAGCTTATATAATTTCAAACAATTTGGTACATAACACTATGTCATGAAATCAATAGTAAAGTTTTATTATACTTATTTTGCAGGCCGGGTTGCTATTTAAGGTATTTAGATTTAAGGGAGAAAATAGTAAATCTGCGGAATTATGTGTTTTTTTTATTTATAGAATATCATTCTTTTGTTAGGTGAATACATGCTTGGATATTGATATTTGCATTATTGTGTGACTATTTATTGTGTTTGAATTTCAGTGTTGTTTAATAACATTTTACACTTTATTTATTTAAACAATTTTCACAATTGCTCAATATACCCCCAACCCCTCCCCTCTGCATCAACAATAAGCTTCAAGTGGTAGTGGTATCAATAGGCTTATTGAGAGATTTCTGTTGCAATTCATTTCAGCACTTTAGGATTCTGTTTCAGCTAATCAATGATGTTTATTGCATGCTTTTGATTGTACCATTTCCTCGAGATGGCTCAATGTATGGTAATCAAACACATTAGCATCGGGGCTGTTGGATGGCCAAGCATCGAGATCAATCAAATTGACACCTTGTTCGCAAAGAAATGCCAATGTCTCCTGAAATCTATGGTACGAGGCAATGTCTTGTTGGAAAATAAAATCCTCGTCACATATACGTTTAATGTCTTAACAGACCCCCTTTGAGTACTTATTGATAATAAACAACACTAAAATTCATAAACAATACGTTTAGTCGCACAATATGCAAATATACAAGCATGTATTCACCTAAAATGATATTCTATAAATAAAAAATTAAACATTATTCCGCAGACTTACTATTTTCTCCCTAAAATCTGGATACCTTAAATACCGACCCGGCCTCCCAAATTAACCATAATAAAACTTTAATATTGATTTCATGACATAGTGTTATATACCAAATTGTTCGAAAATGGATTACCTTTAAAATGATATATATATCAATGTATCATATTGAACATAGTTATTTTCATTCTGATTTAAATTTGGGTATTGGTTTTTTTGGCCCTCCCTGTATGTTATATGTATATATTTTTGGATATATGTTGAATAAATAAATTAAATCTTATAAAAAAACAATGAGTATCTGTTTGGGAATTATTCCACGACCACTACCGTACATTTTAAAAGACCAGGAATTCATTTTTCCATATTTATGCCACTGGCAACATGGTGTCGGAACTTACTTTTCTTGCAACATATTTTATTGACTCTTCCACCTGCTGTTTTCTTTTCACAAACTGCATCGTTTGGGCACACGAGTCTGCCTCTTCTATTTCTTGTGCATGTCTCTATCGCTGATGTAAAACGGTCCCTTAGGACTGTACCTTTCGAACACCTCAGTTCACAACATTCGCTGTTGCTACATCGGCTACCGATTGGGCAATCAAAGTCAGAGCTGCATGCTTTATCATACGATTTTATTCTCCCATCTTTACAAAGTGGTAAACTTTGACCTAAGCAAATTATGAATAGGTGAAATCATGTACAATAAACCCAGGGTCATGAAAAATAACAATCATATGCATATGATATTTAAGTGTTCTGAACAAGTGTCAATGATGATACAATACACAGTTTTTTTTATTGTAAACAGACGTTCGATATGTCCAACATTTTGACCAATTACAGCCCTCAATTTTGGCTTAAACCTTAAACCTATATATAATATATATATTATTATATTATTTATTATATATAATGAACCTTAATAAAGAGAAAGGCTGGCCTATTTGAGGTAAAGTAGTTAAAAGAATGTCGAAAATAATTTTTTAAAGATTAATAAAATGTTCAAGATGAGCTTTTACCATAGCCCAAATTGCCGACTATATGGCCATTTACTCTTTTATTTCGTGATTTTGAAAACCAAATTGCTAACAGAAACATATGCGATAGATCATAGAATATCAGTGTTTTATAATTGATTACCTTTTATTATGTGCCCAAGATCTAGAGCCAAGATTAAAACCAACGCAGCAAGCATCTTGAATGTTGCACACTACTTCGAATAGTGTAATACAAAATATCATTGTACATGCAATTAAATATTAATAGTAACAATAACTAATCATGTTATACTAGTATAACCAAATAAATTTTACTCGGACAATAAAAAGCACGAATATAATAAAGATATTTGCGCATAGCAACTGGCAGCCACTGATAAATTGTTCATTGTTCGATGGATATTATATTGTTTGCAAACAGCGTTTATGCACTTTAGTGTTGTAGTTGATTAAACACTTCATCAATATTTATTCATTTAGATCTACAATTCATGCACAGGGTGAGAAGCAATAGTAAACTGAATTAGTTTGTTTTCATTAAACATGGTTACATTAGCATTGAAGGCATTATCCCGATCACAGTGCTATATAACAATGCAATACTTGAGAAAATGCACGGTGGAAGAATCAATCCAAATCGACACAGGTCCTTTTAGCAAAATTCGGAAGGTTTGATTTTGAGTTCTTTGAAATTTCTTTGGGGTAGGGATACACCTTATAGATTGCATCACAGATTGAGTACATCCAACCGAGGTGAACATGGTTATTCGGGATATCATTGGAAAGCCATTTAACTATCTTTAAAGTGATATTAATGTCAAGACGTTTGATTGTATCTTATGATGTCATAACGGTAGAAAGAAAGAAAAGTACATTCAAATCTGCCCAAGGAACAGTTGCATGGCACGGGAGAATGGAATTCAGTGTACTTGGCACAATGAAATCGCCCTTAAAACACCAAAGTAACTTCAAAATGTCAATATTTGGTACCTTTGTTCAGCTAAGATGCAGCCCTTTAAAATGATATGCGCTGTAAGGCTTCTTAATGAACTTAAGAACCTCAAAAGGGATAAAACCTACAAAAGGCCCAAAATTGCGCCTGCTAATAGGTTGGAGACTTCAATAGAGTTTCCCATAGGTGACCATTATAACATTTTACCCTTTGTCTTATTAACGGTTAGTATTTAGGCCAAGTGCAACACAACACAGTGTTCGGGAGAGACGTACCTAGCTTGCTATAACAAACTTACCATGGGTTGTCCACCGAATTTTTGAGAGGAATTTCTTGAAGACACAAATAGCCCCTCTATCGTCAGATTTATCAGAAGATTCTGGTAAAATCACCAATGTCAAAATCACTATTTTCCACTCGACTTTGACATGTTTTCAGATAAATTAGGACCTACCTTATAAATATTGAGCCCCGATTCACTTACCAAACGCCAGATGGCGCTCTGACGGGATGGGGAAGGAGAAAAATGACTTTTTATACAGAAAACCAATTCACTATATTCATAGTCTCCTGACTATAAAAATAAATCCTAAGTTTAATTTTAGTAAACTTTGGTTTGCCAAATTCGTGTCTTATAATATAACCTTCAAAGTTGTTTTTGTTTCAACGATGGTATCAATACATTAAACTATTAACTATATTAAATGTATATGATTTCGCTCTCGAAACTAATACCGGGAAATGTAGAATTATCTGAACTGAACTATACTTATCGACATGAACTTCATATCGTTTACTTGTGATGTCACACGGGGTTGTCATCGGAAGATTTGTCCACCGTTGGCGAGCATGCTATCTTTCATAAAAACAGAAGACTTCACAATTGTATTTTATCAAAAATGGACACATATTTTAAACCACCCTATACATGTATGTATAGATGCAGCTAACTCAGTACATGTAATCTCCTAAACGAATAATAAAAACGTATCATTTCTGAGTTTGAGTAATATCGCTTGGATTGCTCTTAGGACTTGTCACTTGTGTATACTTTGAGATATCACTTGGAAATTGTTTACATTGAGTGACAGGTGTATTTTGATTTAAGGTGTACTGACTCTACATTTTCTTTGTGATTTTTCACTTGGCCCTGGTAAGCCTGGACAATGTATTACACTTGGATTTGTTGTTTGTCTGGACTTTGTATTTTGTCTGAAAGTTGTATAGTTTTCCTGGACTTTGTAGATTGTCTGGACAATGGTTTGTCTAACCTTTGTAGTTTGATAGCCCTTTTTATATATCCAGTATGTTTAAATCAGGTCAAAGGATCCATTTCTTGAAATTTTCCCTTGAGACCCTGAAAGTGAAATATTTGCCCCTATTAGATTCACTAGTGATCCACTCGATTACGCTGGTTACCTAAACGAACCGTTTCGGTAACAAAATGTCGGAACCTCTGAAGGTACGATTTTTCTTTTTTCCTTATTTCATGCATTGTAGCCAGAATTCCCATGACATTTTTATAACAAACGTGTGCCAGTATCATATGTCCAAGAAAGTGTACATGTTTGGGTATAAATAGTTCAGAAGACCACAGAATCGTAGATTTAATACCTCACTTAAGTTACATAAACGGAACTTCGAAGAACGGTTAAGATTTGCATTTGTAACCCCTTCCATTAACGTAACTTAAGTGAAGTATTGAATCGACATTTCTGTTGTTTTCTGAACTATTTGTTCGCAAACATGTACATTTTCTTAAACACACGATTGTGATAAAAATGCCATGAGAATTCTGCCCACAACACGTGAAATAAGGAAAAAAGAAAAATCGTACCTTCGAGGTTCCGACATTTTGTTACCGAAACGAGCGTAATCGAGTGGATCACCGGTGAGATTGTTAGCATGGACATAACGTGTATTGTTTCCTTACTTTACCAAATAAGTAACAGGACAACAGACTTTCACAATAACTCTCTCCCTCCCCAAAAATTGACACCTAGATTGATCATACATTTTTCAGCAAAGCGGTATTTTGATTTGCCTGACTTTGTCACGTGTTCTCGACACGGTAGACACATTTGGCTTCAAAAGATTGATAAGAGTACGCAACTGACGTTTTTGGAACAGTCCCGATTGACTAACGCCTGTTGTCGAGTGTGATGATGAATGCGAATCTTTAACAGGAAGTTTTGCAAATCTTTGAGTTAACGTATTCTCTTGTTGTCAAGAACATGTTTGAAAAGAGCGTTTTGATGATTTTCACAGACCGTTCAGCCGCGCCGTTATCGCTTGGATGGTAGGAAGGCAAAGCATGATTGCAGTTTATCAATACTTTTTGACGCATTTGTGCGTTCGTTGCGTTTGGGAAATTAGGATCCATTTTGAGTTAGCATTGATTGGTATCAGAAATCGTTCATTTTCTTCGCAAAGTCTCGTATGTTCGCGTTGCCGAACTCGACTGGGAAAATACCATGCTATTAACGTTGGTTCTCCATGCATGTTTCTGGATGCCTGACAGGTTCAACAGCTTTTTATAATAATGGTATTGATATCTTATCTGAGTCAAGACCTGGCCACTAAGAAAAGCATTGCGCAAGAGATCCCATACGTACCAGTATACAAAAGTTGACCTCCTAAGAGGTCAACCAGCAAAATTGTGAACCGAGACTGTAAACCGAAGAACTACTGTTGACAGAGACCGAAGGTCGAAATCAACAGTAGTTTCAAGGTTTACTGTCGAGGTATATGATTTTGTTGGTTGCCGGAATTGAGAGGTCTACAATTGTTTTGTTAGTCAGAAGAAAGTAATAGATATGGCCACCCCATGAGGGAAGATAGTTACACGTCGCTTCAATCCAACAATCGTATCTGTAAACACTGCATACACATCAAGTTTGGTTAATGTTCATGTTATATTTCTCGTTGTGTCTAATTAAGTCAAAATATCACATTCATCAACATAAAACAAAACGCCCGTCTTCTATGTTTTATTCCGAAAACGTAATGACGTCACATATCCCATGATTCACAAGTGTAGTACAGTTCCCATAAGTCACAAGTGTAGTACAGTCACCTACTGTATACCGGTAAAGCAAAGAGCGGTCAATAATAGCATATCCCATGATGCACAGGTGGGGTACAGGCAAAATTGTTGACCGCTAATTGACCAATTAGATGCGAGTATTTACACTGAGGTACTAACACTACAATTCATTACGCTTCCTGTGTTATTCTGCTAATAACCGATCGCGATAAATGGTTGTAATATGACAACATGTAATCCCCATAACACAAATTCTTGGTCTGCGGAGAGCTTATTTATTTGACTGAAATGCGGCTGCAATGCCACCCATGCTACAAATTGATGTGCACTAGTCGGTTCCCTCTAGTTGCTCAAGTTGTAGAGCACTGGACTTGTAATTAGGAGGTTGTTGGTACTTACCTTCTTCTAAGGCCACTGTATCGAGGCCTTCTTTCAAAGAAAAATCCCTGTATGTATAACGGGTCATGTCGTAATCATAAAATTTGAAATCAAATCAAATCATCTTCTGGATCGCTAATTTAAAATTTACAGCCAGTTACTAATGTCAGACATTAACGACATTTCGTCCAGTTTTCGAATATCGCCATTTTTCTTGAAGCCGTTTGTTTTAATTCTAGACGAAATCCTGACGAAATCATGCATTTATATCCAAGGAGCCGAGCCGGTCCCATTTTAGAGACTAGAGACTCGAGTAAGTTGGTACGATTCCCAAGGTGGAGTGACCTTTCACATTAGTTCTGACCATAGTATTTTGATCCTACATAAACCAATAAACGGAAAATGTTATCTCCAAGAAGGCGAAACTAGATAAGAAAGGAAAATTAAATGCTTGTACATTGTTTTATTTGTTATTTTCTGTATAACAATTCATAATTAATACCAGCTGATTAACAAATTCTGCATCCATTGCAACATTTTCGGAAACGTGCGTCATATGCACGAGAACAGCAACATCTAGGTGACAGACCTGATCTACGTCTAATCACACCGGCACAGCACATACTAAACCTGGAATCGTAAGCCTTCGTGCCACAACATCCTGGTGATAAACCCGAGCGTCGGACAATCGTACCACCGCAGCACGTGTTAAAGCTGAAATCATTAATTCACTTCATGCTTATTTGTAAACCTTGGTTTGTAATATTTTCATGTATCTCCATGTTTGTATGTGATTGAAACTTCTGGTCATAAGCAAGCGTTCGCCGGCGACAACCATCGCAATATTTACTCACTTGGAATCATA